AGAGAACAAAACATAAAAACTGACGAGTGAAGTCGAACAAAGAAAAGAGAAGGAGAATATATATGGAAAGGGGATACGACAAAGTTAGTCTAGAGAGAATAAAAAAAGAAAAGCCACAAAGCAAGCACCCCATAAGACCTGAATAACCCTGAAAGCCCTAAACAGACATCTAATCACTCCTATCTAAGTCTATCTTACCACTCTCGTCTTCAATCTTCAAAGGCCTCAGTAAGCTGCAGACACCTCAAATCCTATTGAAGCACTTCCCCCAAATCTTCTTTGGTCTACGAATACCCTTGTTTGATCCCCTATGATCAACCTCTTGCAACTCATCATAGAAGCATCTGGGATTCTCCTCTGCACCAAACCATCTCAATCTAGCTTCACTTATCTTTTTCTCCACGAGAGTCACTTCCATATTCTCCTGGGTAATGTCATTCCGAACTATTTCCTTCGTTGTTTGACCGCCCAATACATCATAGAAGCATTTGGTTTTGATGATTCTTTTTGTTCTTCACTCATTATTCTGTTTGGTAAATCCATGTTAGTGACAATCAGATAAATACGTGCATGTTCGAAAGAGCTATGTTAAAATGCGAACCCAAAATATTTGTAAAGTGTTATCAAACTATGTTCAATGTCACATTTGTGTGGGCTCAGAGTTCAGTTTTTGGTTAATATCTAGATCCAGGGTATGCAAGGCATACACGTCCATCTCTCTGTTCTGATCACACTATCAGCTCGTGAAGCGGGCCTTCTGTTTGGTTATGCTGTGACGATTTCATACAATTTCTTTTATAAGTTGTTTCTGTGATAATCTATTGAAGTATATTAATGGTTGATTTCTTTTTTCAGATACACTCAAAATGCAGTTCCACCAAATATTGCTCCTTGTATCCTTGATTGTTTTTCCATTTCCATGCAAATTTATTTTGTTTGATGTGTTCGTTACTCAGCAAGGGCAAGTCCTTTACACCAATTTTCAGACTTGAACATTGCACCCACTACTGGATACTACTACCCAACTGTGTTCTTCAATGAGTTTTGGTTACTTAGAGACAAGTTTATACCCATCAATGACACAATAACAAAGTTGCCACTGCATCTTGAGCTTAGTCCCATAAGCATGACAAAATGGCAACTATTCCTGCAGATTGATCAATCTTTTCAGATTCATAGGAGTTATGGAAGCATGCTTGAAGGCGAGTCTGATGAACTGAAGGTTATGATTTAGTGATTATTAAGTTACAATTGCAATTTGGTTCAGAAATCAGCTAACTTATATTAAATCATCAGATTCCTTTTTTGACATCACTCTTAAGTCTTAAGTCTTATCTGACCTGTTTTTGAATTGTATTATTCATGCTCTTTTTTCAGAGGGTCTTTTTGGAAGGAAACCCATACCTTCTTGGGGTTACCATGGTTGTATCTCTACTGCATTCTGTGTTTGACTTCTTGGCATTCAAGAATGGTTAGGAATCTGTCTTGGTTTTCCTTCCATATTCATTAGTGTATTAATGCAAGTTTTCGTGACAAATTATGATTTCAAATAATTGATACTTTTCAGATATTCAGTTCTGGAACAAAAACAAGTCCATGGAAGGTCTATCCGCAAAATCAGTTGTTGTGAACTTTATCTCCCAGCTTATCGTCTTTCTTTATTTACTTGACAATGAAACTTCATGGATGATACTTGCAAGTTCTGGTATTGGCTGTTGTATTGAGTTCTGGAAAATAGGAAAGGCTATGCACATAGAGGTATGCATTGCTTATTAATGGTCTTCCTATATTTACTTGAAAATGAGGCATCATGGGTGATACATGCAAGTTCTGGCATTTGTTGTTGACCATGCACAATGGTATGGTTTCTATTTGATGAGTGACATTTGACAAAATGGCCAATATGCAAGTTTGGGCTAGTTTGAATGGTTGTTGGTATACCTGAGTATAATGAGTTTTCTCTTGCTTAATTGTGCATAAGTGTGTTAGTTTTGACGTTTGGTTAGTCCGTAAAACACTCAAGTATTACTAATGGTCGAATATGCAAGTTTGAGCTTGTCTGAGTAGTTATTGGTATAAGTGAGTGCAATGGGTTTTTTTGTTTAATTGTGTATACGTGCGTTGCGTTTGACTTTTGGTTAGTCTATAAAACCATTAGGCATTCCAATCCAACTTAATCAATGGCTATAAATCTGTGCTGTTTGTACAAGGATGGATGATTTAAGTCAAGTCAATGCCTGTATAAAATAATTATTTGCTGAAATATTGAAACTGCTATACCAGTTTGCAGTACGTTGCAATCTAGTTAATCCAACTTTTATTTTCATGGTTACTGGATATCTGAAAGCTTCTGATATTGCAATTACCAATGGTGACAGGAGGTTTAGTTGAATACTTGGATATTGTTTTTACTTTTGAGTTAAAAGATTTCTGAAATGTTGGGAAGTGTTTCCGTGCATCAGTTTTCCACATGCAAAGATTATGTTTGCCTTCATTTTGGTAGATGGATGAGAAGGTTATTTGCCTCTTCCCTGATGTTTGTTGCAGATAGACAGATCTGGCAAGATACCTATGCTGAGATTCCGCGATCGCGAATCATATGCTGGAAATAAGACAAAAGAATACGATGATCTTGCCATGAAGTATTTGACATATATCCTCTTCTTCTTGGCTGGATGCTTTTCGATATACTCTTTAATGTATGAACAGCACAAGAGTTGGTACTCTTGGATTCTCTCTTCCCTCACGAGTTGTGTTTATATGTTTGGTAAGTATGCCTTTTTTTCATTCTTAATTTTTTCATTTCCACTTTAGATAGCCATAATACTCTTCCCTCATGTTGAACATGAAATATGTTACTAGCAACAAATATGAATTATGTTCCAACTTTGGAGTGCATATTTCATTTGTATGTACCCACTTGTACTGCCCCTCAAAGGCTTCAAGTTTCTAACCACTTAGTCTGAAGTTGATTGTATTTTCGTTAGTATAGCAATTAGCGACTATTGATATTTGATAGCGAATCATCCTCAATCAGTAAGTCCTTTTCTTCTCTGACAAATTTCACAGGTTTCATTATGATGTGTCCTCAGTTATTCATCAACTATAAACTGAAGTCGGTTGCTCATTTGCCTTGGAGGCAAATGACATACAAGTTCCTGAATACAATTATTGACGATCTCTTTGCCTTTGTCATTAAGATGCCTACATTGCATCGCCTCTCAGTCTTTCGAGATGGTAAGTTTTACTATTTATGCATTGCTTTGTAGTTCATTTGGCATGGAGCAAGTATGGCACTGTATGCATAGCAAAGATTTTATAGTTAATAAGCGGTAATGAATATAATGGATATTGGACATAGATTTGGTTATTAGTTTAATGAAAGTAGTGTTAAATCATAAATACAACAATAATGTTGAGTGGTGATCTTGAGGTGAGTGTGCTATTTAATACTGACTTCGTCCCTTTGTGTGAAAATGAAGGTTATGGCTTGACTTCATGAAGTTTAAGAAATGTGTTGAAAAATAAAAAGTATGGTTCAAATTTGTTTAGAAGAAAGGAATATCATATGAGCCATATCCATTTTTTGGGACATTCCAAGAACAACAACATTACCCCAGTGCCTCTACGGCTCCTGCCCATTGCAGGGTAAGAGGGGGTTGGATGTACGCAATCTGACCCCTATGTTTAAAACCCCCTATGTTTAAAACATAGAGCGGCTGTTTCCAGATGACCATGATGAGTGTCAAAAGTTGCATTGACCAACTGCTACTTCACAATTCCCAGCACAGATAGTTTATAAACTTCATTCCAAAAAAAGGAATACATAAACTTCATTTTCGAACGAATGGAGTACTACATACTATTTATACTACAACATATTTATACATGTGATGATGTTGACATTACCTGTTCTGTTCTCTGCAGATTTAATATTTCTCATATACCTGTACCAAAGGTGGGTTTATCCAGTTGATAGGAAACGTGTCAATGAATTTGGGTTTGGGGGTGAGGAAGCCGATAATGCAGCTAGTAGCAGCACCGTTGCCAGGACGCAGAATGAAGATGAGAAGAAAACTAACTGATCTAATTCTTCTGATAGTTTAGTGCTTTCTAAACTTATGGTACTGTTAGTTTTTTGTTTTTATAAAACTTGATAGATAGTGTGTTTGCCCACACCTGATTTTACTGGGAGCTTGGGGGATATTGTCGCCCGTGTTTTTTCCCTTTCCATTACATGCTGTTTTGTACTACTATATTTATATTTATTTTGAACTCCGTGAAGAAGGTTGACAGAAAGAGATGAGTTATCTAGTATTATTAATAATGTAGTAGCATATGAATAATGATTATTTTGAAAGTTTTCAGCAAAAAAAATCTTATGAATTTGTTTTTATACTGATGTATACTCCCTTTGTCCCATTTTATAACGCCTGTTTTGGTTTACGATGTTTGATTAAAATTGTTTTTAAATCATTTTATATGACAAATGATACAGAGTTAAAAAATAAAAATTACATATTAAAATACTACATCAAAATATCTACAAAACTAATAGTGATAATAATACTTTATTTTATCACATCGCTAACGAAAATAGAGAAAAAAAGTGAATCTTTTATTATGTGATCTCAACAGATTTGCATATACTTTATTTTTTGATAAAATAATAGTCATGTCACCACTAGTTTTGTAAATCTTTGATCTACTTTTTAAATGTGTAATTTTTATTTTTTAATTCTATACGGAGTACTATTTTTTAGAATCAATGTTATAGCACGGTGCATGTCATATACTTCTTTCGTTCGGAAAATTTCTCATGGAGAGTCAATGTTTTTTCATTTTGAATTACAATTAAAGTTGGTCAAGTCCCGTAACGCATAATGAACGGAGTACAATTTTTCAACTTTTTCGACACATTTCTATTTTTCGTATTAGTGTATCTTCTTCGACATCTTATTCGACACATTTCCATTTTTCTAAATAAATGTATCGACTATCAAGTCAACATTGAAACATAAGTTTAGGAAGGGGGAGTAATTAAGACCACCTAAATGCATATCATAATGTGAATCTCGATCGAAATTAAGATCTTCTTTTATTTCCTGAGTTTCTTTTCTTTCCTTGATGAGAATTTCAGGTCTCAGATAAGCCCAACCGAGAACCAAATGTCAGCAAGCAGCGCTAAAATTGGATCCCTTGAGCAAAGCTTTCTTGAAACAGTAGGGGAGATATTGACATGCAAAAAAGTGTATGTTTCTTCTGCATTGTGTTTTGGCACCCGCCATCCGTCAGCAGTCAATGAAGGCATTCCTCTTCTTGACAGATTCTTTGAGAATGTTAAGACTGTTTGGACCAAATCCTACGAGATGGGCCGCAAAGATCCACGCAAAGTCGTGTTTGCGGCTAAAATGGGGATGGCTCTCTCCATTGTGGCTGTTCTCATTTTCTTCAAGGAGCCCCTTACTTACATTGGCAAAAACTCTGTCTGGAGCTTCGAATTCAGCATAGGGGCCACCCTTAATAAAGGGTTCAATAGAGCTCTTAGCTTGGGACATTTTCTGCTGGAGGGTTGTCTTTGGGCATAGTTGAACTATCTCGGTTGGCGCGCTGGAAGATGGCAAGAAGTTGTTGTAGTAATCATTGTCTTTATGGCAGCTTGTTCTTCCCTCCCTCCCTCCTTGAATTGTCTTCATTATAATTATTAAAAGAAAAGAAAAAAAATTGGGTTTGAGGTTTATATATACCTATCCCATTATTGTGTGTTTTAGGATTTCTTGCAATTTACTTGAAATTGCATCCTGCCATGATTGTGTGTACCCAATTTGGGCGGGCGATGATTTGCATAAATTGGTGGTGAAAAACTTTAGAGGCGTTGCCACTTCTCTCGAAGGCGATTGATTGATTGTTTTTTTTATTATACTTATCCGACAGGTGGCTATAAACAATGCGTCGAATACGAGAGGATACCTACCAAAATTCTTCTCTATCAGGCGTCTGATGATCTTGTGTATATTGCACCTTACATTTCCTTTTTTATGTTACTCCCTCCGTCCCAAATTATAATGCCTGTTTACTATTCACAGGGTCAAACTTCATTCACTTTCTTTCTCTATTTTCGTTAGCAATTTGATAAAATAAAATATTATTGTCACTACTAGTTTTGTAGATCTTTTGATGTAGTTTTTTAATATGCAATTTTTATTTTTTAATTCTATACCATTTGTCATATAAAATGGTTTGAAAATAATTTCAGTCAAACATCGTAAACCGAAACAGGCGTTATAAAATGGGACGGAGGTANCTCCGTCCCAAATTATAATGCCTGTTTACTATTCACAGGGTCAAACTTCATTCACTTTCTTTCTCTATTTTCGTTAGCAATTTGATAAAATAAAATATTATTGTCACTACTAGTTTTGTAGATCTTTTGATGTAGTTTTTTAATATGCAATTTTTATTTTTTAATTCTATACCATTTGTCATATAAAATGGTTTGAAAATAATTTCAGTCAAACATCGTAAACCGAAACAGGCGTTATAAAATGGGACGGAGGTAGTACTTTTTTGTGCACTTCTATTTGCCTATTTCAGTTAGGTTTTTCTTTTTGGGAACCACCTCATGGCCGTTACTGTTAGAAATATTGTACGAAGAACACTATGAGCAGTGTTCATGAAGAACTCGATAGTATGACGAATTGCGTATGAACGCTTTCATATCAAAGTTATTTTTGAGTAAACGAAATATTTCAATCGGATAAGACGTTAATCAACAACAAGGACTCGAAATCCCACACTCAATCCATACCACGAGACTCTATTTTATAGAGTCGAAAATTCAAGAACGGGCATGAACGTTCACGTCGACGCGTACGTTCGCGCGGAAGAGAAGAAAGGCGCGATTTTGAACGAAAGGTCTCCTGCGGTTTTAGGGTCTATTTCGACGTTATCCACTTGTTTGAGTCCTTTACTGTTTTGGACTCCGATCACGAAAATCTTAAGGATTTTCATAAAGAAACAACGTCCGAAATAAAAAAATCTTAAGGCTCTGCCCCTTGGACCCCGCTACCCGGGGGCTTCCGCACCCGGACCTCTGCTACCCCGGGGGCTGCTACCCCCGAACCCCGCAGTGAATTTGTAATATCGTTGAACGAGCGCGCACTTCGCGCCTCCTAACTCGTTTTACAACGTATATTTAAATTATTGTAGTAAATTCAATTACACAAAATAAACCGATGACACTGAAATCACCAATAATCCTCCCCTATTTTAGTGTAATCCATGACTTCTTGCGATAATAGATTCAACAAACTTATGCATAAATAAAAATGTCGCGACGATTGAATTTTCATCTTAGTATATTACACATTCCAAATATTTGAATTTCGGGGTGTCTCTAAGGATTGAACCCTTGCAATTCATATGAATACATGAAGATAATAGACACATAAGCTCTAAGTGCTTCTTTGTTCCAAGCTTGACACTGTATTTTTCTAGCCTTGTGTCCCTATCCTTCAACGAGCATATAAAAGTCAAGTCCAAACTTTGTGAAGCGGCTAAACTTCATACTCGTATAGGTAGTTCTTTCTTTTATGTCTTGTACCTGCATATTCAATTTTTCAAAAGAATTATTAAGAAGATTAACTTTAACCTCTCTAACTTGCAGTTCTGAAGATCCACATTACACAGAGAGAGATGCAAAGATGAAAAAAACACAAAACAAAAAACCCCCAATTTCTCTTTCTTTCTATGTGATGGAGATTCGTCAAATTCCAGCGTCCGAGAAGGGAAGAGAAAGAGAAAATCTCCACCGATCGAGCTTCCTATATATATCATATAGAGATTCTAATTATTATTATTATTTTTAAATACCATTAGTTGGTTCTTCCATTTTTTTGTTTTGTTTTTGAGTTTTATTAGTTCCGATTCCAGAGTTATGTTGCAGAGGAAGCCAAGAAGAAGAAGGATAAATTGATTAAATTAATTAATTAATGAAGATGAAGAAGAAAGAAAGATGAGAGTTTAGTTGTATCTGGCAAGAGTAATGCTAGAGTCACAAACAAACAGTTTACAAAATGCACAAACTTATCTTTTTAACATTTTTCTAGAAATAAGATGCACTCAAATAATAAAAGATATTTTAATTCAAAATCCACAAAAGGTAAGTTTGTGAAGTTTGTGAACTATATGTTTGTGACTCTAGCATTTTCCATCTGGCAATAGGAATTGCGCATCACAAACACAGTAGATATTATATATTGGTAGGATAAATTTCACCAATGGTACTTGAACTTTAGCTGGAATTTCGAAGTGGTACCTGAACTTCAAATCCTTTCAAATAAATCCCTGAATTTACACAATCCTTTCACTAATGAACCATTAGCCCGTTTCTAGGTTAAATTCCGGTATTTGGGCCAAATTCGAATTTTATATATTTTAAAATTTTCAATTTGACCCCATTTCTTCTTTTCTTTTCTTCCACGCCCCGCCCCCGCCGCCCGCCAGCAGCGGGTCAGAGCGTTTTCCGGCTAAATCCGGCGAAATTGACGGCGGGCAACCACTCCAATGTGGTCGTGGCATCAGGGCGACCTCCAAGGACCCCTCAATTGCAAGATTTGATGACGATTTGCAAAACCCCCAATTTTGGACCCAATTTCGAATTTTAGGATTTTTTCGAGTAGAAAAATTCAAATTCAAGAAGTTACAGGCCAAATTAGACAAAATGGTTTGGATATTATTGATCCCCGTCTCAAGACGAAGAGAATGACATTGGTCCCACTGGAATCGGACAAAGTTCATTTTCCGGCGACTTTGACCGGCGGGCGGCGGGGGCGGGGCGGGGCGTGGAAGAAAAGAAAAGAAGAAATGGGGTCAAATTGGAAATTTTAAAATATATAAAATTCGAATTTGGCCCAAATGACCGGAATTTAACTTAGAAACGGGCTAATGGTTCATTAGTGAAAGGATTGTGTAAGTTCAAGGATTTATTTGAAAGGATTTGAAGTTCAGGTACCACTTCGAAATTCCAGCTAAAGTTCAGGTACCATTGGTGAAATTTACCCTATATTGGTAATAGGAATTGTGCGTCACCACAAGAAAGAAAGAGACGAGAAAATCGAGAAGAAGAAGAAGAAGAAAAAGAAGAAGAAGAAGGCTCTTCCTTTATTCGTCGAACCAGGCTCTTCCTTTATTCGCGACCTCGTGCACGGACCATTGATGTTGAAGGATGATCTTCCTTTATTCGTCGAACCAAGCTCTGATACCAACTGAAGCCGAATTAAATCAAGGCGTAGGGCTAGAATGAGAAGAACAACGAAAGAAAGGGAAAGATTGAAACGCTAGGAGAAGAATTCCGCTCTAGGTATAAGAAAAATTCTCAAATAATGATAGTCTGCCTGAATTATGCCCACAAGCCGGGCTATAAATAGCTGGAAAAAAACAAAGGGACTGAAACCCTAAAAGATGGAAGACAAAACGGGCCTAAGAATAAAAAAAATGGGCTAACTAAAAAAATAGGCCAAAGGCCCAAAGACACAAAAATTAAAAAATGAAGGCCTTAATCCTCTCCTGCATCAAAGAAGAAGAAGAAGAAGAAGAAGAAGAAGAAGAAGAAGAAGAAGAAGAAGAAGAATGACGCCGAATTAAATCAAGGCGTAGGGCTAGAACGAGAAGAACAACGAAAGAAAGGGAAAGATTGAAACGCTAGGGGAAGAATTCCGCTCTAGGTATAGGAAAAATTCTCAAATAATGATAGTCTGCCTTCGACCTGTTGTAGGCAAATTCTGCTTGAGGAAGAGCTAAGTCCCACTGCTTCGCCTTATTTCCAGCCAAGCAACGAAGGAGGTTGCCCAAACTGCGGTTCACCACCTCCGTCTGACCATCCGTTTGGGGGTGATAGGCAGTACTGAAGTTTAAACGAGTGATAGGCGTGTCGTAGCACCTACAAATTAATTAATTATTTTCCTTAACTCTTAACCCCCTTTATGAATTAATATTCATTAAAACATATAGATAGGGTAAGTAAGGGTCGATCCCACGAGGAAAGATACTTTTATTGCTATGAAAATCAGTTCACTTGTCACATTTATTGAATAAAAACTAACTAAAACTAAATAACTAAAACTAAAAGATATGGGGGGTTTGAATGATGATTCTAAAAAGATAAAAATGCAAATAAAATAAAGATAAAGGATAACAGATAAGAGATGGACCCATAACAGCAATTCGAACTCAGAAGAACACTCAGGGAGAAAACGAACACACAAACACATCTCACGGTAAACTTTATAAAAACTTAGACAATAATAATTAACTTAAACCGTTTTGAAAATACTTATAATTTGTAATAGAAAATAAACTGAACAAATTTGATTAACCAATTAATTTTGCCTTGATTCTGAAATTAAACTGCTAATTAAACTCAGGGTTAGGCTGAAGAAGAGGTCCACCAACGGTTCTTCCCTATTTTCCCATTCATATTAGCTTATGTTAAGACCAACCCTAACTCTAAACCTTACTACCCTTAGCAACCCAAAGACCAACCCTTAAGTTACTACTAAGAATAGCGCATTAAAATCTTTGGAAAACATCACCATAACAATCTTGCAGTAACACTACGGTTATTTAACAAAATCAGTTCGAGAACCTTGATTAGCAAAAACCACTTAACGAGGCAGCAAGTACTAATCAAGTGACACTTGGTTTCTAGAAAAGTTCAGCTATTTAAAGCACTTTGGACTTTAAAAGAATATCATTTTAAACTGGATTAGGCGCGCGTTCCTAATTTGGTCCAATTTAAGTAAAATCCGGTGAATAATAGTTCTCAGAACACCTTTTGAGTTTAGATTTAACAGTAGCGTAGAGCTAAAATCTCTTCAAAGTCTAATTTATTCAACAAACAAAGATTCAATCTTTTTGTCAAACATTTTGGCCTAAGAAGGTTTTATAGTTTCAGAGACAATGATCAATTAATAAATCATAACTTGAACCATTCAACATCAACAAACAATTCAACACTTATAATATAACTTAAACATTCAACATAGAATTCGAATTGAAAATATTATATTTAAATAATGGATATCAAATTCATCAATTGGAAATTAAACAAATTCAAAATCCTAATTAAAAGTTTGAAATAAAATTAGAAGTCAAAGAAACTCCCCTGTGTATTGCTCCTTTGTTCGTTCGCTGCCAAAGAAGAGACCAAAGACTACCAATTCAATTGCACTATCCATGGCCTCCATCGCCGGACCCATGTCGCCGTCGCCACCATCGCCGGAGTTGAGTCGCCGAGTGCCGCGCCGGACCTAGGGTCGAAACCCTAGGTCGGCTCTCTCTGTTCCGTTTTCGTCCCTCCTTCCTCGTTCTCCGTATATATCCCTTCTTTTTATAATTGAGATTTGAAGAGTTCCAATTGGATTTGGAAAAGGATTCTCTAGTTTCTTGCGCCTTCCGTTGTTGGAGTCTGAGACGGAGTCTCCATTTCCTTTCCTGCGATGCTTTCTACAGAATGGAGGAGTTTTCACTTTATTTCTTTTTTGCTTTCCTTTTGATCTTCTCCGCATTGGTTTATGATGGGCCAAATAGATGTCTTGCCTGGGCCTATTCTTCACTTTCTTCCGCGTCCTTTTTTACTCCAAAATATATCTAAAAAATATTAATTAAGGAAAATAACACTCTAAATTAATTAATAAATATAAATACATTCAAAATCATGCATTTTATGTATAAAAAGTAAACAATAGCCTAAAATGCTAAATGTAACCAAATATATTTATTTAAGTATAAAATGTATATAAAACATACTAAAAGTACTAAGAAATAAGAGAATAAAATATGACATTTTGTGACTCAACAAATACCCCCACACTTAGACTTTTGCACGTCCTCGTGCAAAGTTGATATTGAAAATCATTTTCCCTTTTTGGTTGAAATTCAAACTCAAAATAATTTCTAAATCTTAAAACAGTCTAAAGTGTTGCATGAAACATTAACTAAAAATTAACCATGTACCAAATAGAATAAACACTTTAAAAATCAATTTACTACTTTAAATTTTAAAACAGTTCTTTCACTTCAAAGTTAACTAGAAAATATTTTTATTTAATGTCAAAACTTTGAATTAGCTAAGGTCATTGAGAACAATTTAAAAGAAATAAATAGAGCAGCAAAAAGTGGTTAGAAATCCTAAGAAACAATCAAGTAAAGAAAAGCTCAAGAAAATTTATTTTCTTTTCCAAAATTTGGAAATTAAACTTATATTTATTGCTTTAATTCAATATTTAATTTTAATTGTTTTAGTTGACCCGTGTAGCGAGTCTCAACCAGGCTACCCCAGACCCATTCCAGATAGCCCGGGACCTAACTAAAAGAAGTATTCCGAGGGTTTCAACTCGAGTGCTCAAACAATCTTTTCATTCATTTTTTATTCTTTTACTTTTACCTAGCCATTTATTGCATTTTTTTCTTTTTTTTTTTGCTCAATGGCGTCGGTTATATTTTTTTTAAACGGGTTATGGACGAGATTCGTACGGCCCTAAACGGGGTTTGCTCTTCCAACTCAGGTTTTCTCCATACAAAACATCACTTCCTTTTGGGATCTATTGCTTAAGGGGACAAAGGTGTCGTGCCACCCATGCCAACCTAAGATGGTGTTCCAGTATATATATTCAATTTTTCAGCTTCTTGATAACATGTAAATAACCAAAATTTAGAAAAGAAAAAGATTTTCTAAAGACTAACTTTACTTGAATAGCAACTTAGGACAAAAAGAGTTAGTTGGAAAACTGCTCCATGTATTTCTAAATAAATTGTGCACATTGAACTTAACTAACTAAAAGGTATGAAATTAAACAAAAATAACTTCCAAATAGATTTGACTTAAAAGAAATGATTTAAAGTTTTTAGTAGCAAACTCATTTATAAAGAAATTCAAACATACTTGTTACAAAATTAATTTCAATTTAATGCAAAAATGCAACACTTAAGAGTGCTAAAAGATTAAAAGAAACTATAATGATTTCTAATTTTTCTCGAAACTCTCCTTTTCTTATATAGATTTTTATGTGAAAGATAATTGTTTTCTTAAAAAACTTTAAAAAATTTTAAATTTTAACCAAATTGCATCTAAAATACAAAATTGACATGAAATACCTCTTTTTCTACCCAATTCATGCTCCTAGTATGTGTATGAAAACATGCAAACATTTTTTTTCCTAAAATATGCATAACTAAATGCAGAAAGCGTCCCCCCACACTTAAATCATGCAGTGCCCTCAATGCATGTCAAAGATATAAAAATGATGAACGAATGCACATATTTAATGAGACAATTAACAACATGAAACATGAACAATAACAAACAGATGCAAGAATGTAGGAAGGGGATCATAAGATATGACAATTAAGCATGCAAGGCAGACATAGTGCAAGTAAAGAAGAGAATAAAACAAAAAGAAAAAAAAAGTAAATAAAATGCATAAAAGTAAAAGTTTAAATATCTGGGTTGCCTCCCAGAAAGCCGCCCTCTTTTAGAGTCTTCGGCTAGACCCTTTGTTTTGCTCGGGACAATAAGAAGAATCCATATTGTACTCTTAATAACCTGTGATTACTCAAAACAAATCTCTAAAGCAAACCAAATAGCTAATCACAAGGTCAAAGTAAATAATATAAACTAGTTTTAGTATTACTCATAAATTAATTTTCCAAATAAACACATAAAATTCTAACATCATAGATTCTCAAAAAGTGATCAAGTTTCTGAAAGACTAGATGTTATGGTGTGAGGTAATAACTTGCAAAGCACAAGCAGCTAAAGATATACCCGACACTTAAAATAGCATTTGGAAAACAATTTTATTTTTGTTAAATTCTACTAAAACTGTGTTTCTTGTTTCCCTTATTCTAATTTTGGAACTTTAAAACATTATTTACAAGTAAGGATTTTATTAGTTTGGAGAATCATGTCTGAGAGAAAATTTAGTCATATTTTTGACAATGCATAGAATGTAGCTAAAGATTAGATTTTGAAATAGCTGAGCACAAACCAAGACAATAGATAATTTCTTTTTTTTTTACCCCAATGGTTCATTCTCAACTAAATTTGAACACATTTTTATCTTCCATATGTGAAGTACACTGCCCTTTTGAATAACTTGAGATGTTTTAATTCCCTTTTTTTATTTTTTACTTCCATAAAAAAAACTTAATTCTAAAACAGAGATTCATGGCTTGAGTAGGATTCCAAGGTTTAGGACAAAGTAGGCCTAATCACAAGTCATAGGAATCATGCTCGATTTTTTTAACAGCCAACTCGTTAAATCAATGCAAAATCACTGTCTCAATTAAGAATGGCTTAAACAAAAATTTGGATTAGGCCATATGTCCGAACAAGTAATGATGTATTTGGAAACTAACATCAAAACCTTACCACTATTTGCTCAATAAGTGTTTAAGAACCAATCAGTAGGACTAGCAATGAGTATTTTGAACACCATGTCTAAACATTTGTTCCTCACAGGTTTTGTCCATCATTTCTATTTGAAAGAGATCCTTCAGTATATTGACCAGTATAAATTCAATTCCAACTAAAAATGAGAATGAGTTGAGTACACTTACCTGGAGGAGCTTGCTTTTAAAATCCATAACCAAGTCTGTTCTTTTATTTTCTCTTGACTCAATAAGTCACGTGAGGGGCACAGAACTAAGATTCTGCTAACAATTTGGAACCTAAAAATGCATCAATATCCCTGCTATTTTTAGTCAAGCCTTTTCTTCTCAAATTGTGTACTTAACCCTGCTTGCTTTTTGGCTTCTGTACTCACAAGTAAAAGATTAAAACCACAATACAGTAGCACTTAAAACAATCTCATCGCCTTATCGCCGCACCGAAGTGTCCACTTATGTTGAAACTAAAACTGTGTTTTAGGTCACCTTTCAAAAACAAACTATTCTTTCATTATAACTCTGCTAACATTCTGCATTTGAGCTTTTACTACTGAACCCTTTTTATTTATGTTTAATTTTTATGATCAGGAACTTCTTCCTTCTTTTTTTGAGTACTTTTTAACTTATGACACTCTTTTTTAGTAGCTAACTCTTCTTTTGACACTCCTTTTTAGGTGTCAGAATTATTCTTTTCCTTTTGTAACACTAGCTTTTGACCATGTGGTGAAGAAAAAACAAGAATTTTAGTTCACCAACTTGTTTCTAAATAAACCCAAGCTAAAAGAGCTTCTGAAAAATTTGCACACATTTTTGAGAATACAAGTTGAAGTGGTGGTCTTGACCTTTTAGTCCTTCTTAGTCCTCAAGTATTTTTTATATGATAAGTCCATTAGAACACTAATTGGATACCCCTACTTCTTTAGTTAAAATTGCACAAATAATAAGGCATGAGGTTAAAGCACTTACCTGATCATCATAATGCACATATGAATGCAATGACATTTTCCACCCGACATTGAGCTCCATGCGAGAATTTGTTTAGCCATTTATGTGCTTTAAGATTTTTTTGTTTTAAATCTGAGTTGCTGATTGCTAACTTCTTTCCTTTGGTATGGTGTTGTGAAGATGGAGCTACTTCTCCTGTTTTATTGATGCATTGGATTTCGGATCCTTGGTCAGCTCCATCTAATGCTTCACCACGTTTGATTATTCTTCTACTGGGGCATGGCATATACGTTACTCAAGGGAAATAATCATTCTCGGTCTACATCCTTTCTCACATTCTGTTCTCCTATGATCTCTGGAGCAATATGTAACTGCCAAAACATAAGCACCCAATAGTGCTGCAACTATCCATGTCTGCACTGCACAAATTTATTTAAATAACCCTGAATCCTCAAAGAGAACTGCAATATTAACTACTAAAGCCAAAGCCAGAATGAATCTCAAAACCAAGATAAAACAACATAGGCAGTTAAACAGTTTATTAAGTCAACAATTTCAACTAGTGTTAATGCCTATTAAAAAAAACTAAAAGTGCTAAAAGATATAGTTAAAATAAGTTCAAAAAGAGGGTTAGATTCGAGTTAAGATAAGATACTGTTACATAAATTTAAACTAAAAGTTAGAGTTAAGTGACATCTAACACTAAGAAAACTAACTAGACTCAACACTGGCTAAAAAAACAAAAACGGACTAGTGATTCAGATGAACCTTAGAAACACTAAAAGATATTAATTCACCATTTTTTTAGTTCGTGCTTTATTAGAAACTAAAAAGTTCTTTTTTTTAGTGATGTTTTTTTTTATCCTACTTTTTTCCTTTTTTTTGTTTTTCAATTTTTTTGCTTCAATTTTTTTTTTTTGCTTTTTTTTTTTGTTTTTTTTCTTTAATTTTTTTGTTTTATTTTTTTTTTGGTTTTTTTTTTCATTTTTTTGGAAACATAGAAAACTGATTTTCATAAAAAGTTAATCTTTCCCCGGCAACGGCGCCAAAATTTGATAGACGTGTCGTAGCACCTACAAATTAATTAATTATTTTTCTTAACTCTTAACCCCCTTTATGAATTAATATTCATTAAAACATATAGATAGGGTAAGTAAGGGTCGATCCCACGAGGAAAGATACTTTTATTGCTATGAAAATCAGTTCACTTGTCACATTTATTGAATAAAAACTAACTAAAACTAAATAACTAAAACTAAAAGATATGGGGGGTTTGAATGATGATTCTAAAAAGATAAAAATGCAAATAAAATAAAGATAAAGGATAACAGATAAGAGATGGACCCATAACAGCAATTCGAACTCAGAAGAACACTCAGGGAGAAAACAAACACACAAACACATCTCACGGTAAACTTTATAAAAACTTAGACAATAATAATTAACTTAAACCGTTTTGAAAATACTTATAATTTGTAATAGAAAATAAACTGAACAAATTTGATTAACCAATTAATTTTGCCTTGATTCTGAAATTAAACTGCTAATTAAACTCAGGGTTAGGCTGAAGAAGAGGTCCACCAACGGTTCTTCCCTATTTTCTCATTCATTTTAGCTTATCTTAAGACCAACCCTAACTCTAAACCTTACTACCTTTAGCAACCCAAAGACCAACCCTTAAGTTACTACTAAGAATAGCGCATTAAAATCTTTGGAAAACATCACCATAACAATCTTGCAGTAACACTACGGTTATTTAACAAAATCAGTTCGAGAACCTTGATTAGCAAAAACCACTTAACGAGGCAGCAAGTACTAATCAAGTGACACTTGGTTTCTAGAAAAGTTCAGCTATTTAAAGCACTTTGGACTTTAAAAGAATATCATTTTAAACTGGATTAGGCGCGCGTTCCTAATTTGGTCCAATTTAAGTAAAATCCGGTGAATAATAGTTCTCAGAACACCTTTTGAGTTTAGATTTAACAGTAGCGTAGAGCTAAAATCTCTTCAAAGTCTAATTTATTCAACAAACAAAGATTCAATCTTTTTGTCAAACATTTTGGCCTAAGAAGGTTTTATAGTTTCAGAGACAATGATCAATTAATAAATCATAACTTGAACCATTCAACATCAACACTTAAACAATTCAACACTTATAATATAACTTAAACATTCAACATAGAATTCGAATTGAAAATATTATATTTAAATAGTGGATATCAAATTCATCAATTGGAAATTAAACAAATTCAAAATCCTAATTAAAAGTTTGAAATAAAATTAGAAATCAAAGAAACTCCCCTGTGTATTGCTCCTTTGTTCGTTCACTGCCAAAGAAGAGACCAAAGACTACCAATTCAATTGCACTATCCATGGCCTCCATCGCCGGACCCATGTCGCCGTCGCCACCATCGCCGGAGTTGAGTCGCCGAGTGCCGCACCGGACCTAGGGTCGAAACCCTAGGTCGGCTCTCTCTGTTCCGTTTTCGTCCCTCCTTCCTCGTTCTCCGTATATATCCCTTCCTCGTTCTCCAATTGGATTTTCTCCCCATTGGTTTATGATGGGCCAAATAGATGTCTTGTCTGGGCTTATTCTTCACTTTCTTCCGCGTCCTTTTTTACTCCAAAATATATCTAAAAAATATTAATTAAGGAAAATAACACTCTAAATTAATTAATAAATATAAATACACTCAAAATCATGCATTTTATGTATAAAAAGTAAACAATAGCCTAAAATGCTAAATGTAACCAAATATATTTATTTAAGTATAAAATGCATATAAAACATACTAAAAGTACTAAGAAATGAGAGAATAAAATATGACATTTTGTGACTAAACAACGAGTGCCCAACTTTTCCCATAAACTCTTCCAGAACTGGCTCATGAACTTCGTGTCACGATCTGAAGTGATGGATCGTGGAACTCATGCAACCGTACAATCTCCTTAAAGTAAAGATGAGCAATCCGCGCAGCGTCCATGGTCTTCCTACAGGGTATAAAATGCGCCACTTGGAAAACTTGTCAACAACTACAAAGACAGAATCTGCTGCCCTTTGGGTGCGGGGTAAACCAAGCACAAAATCCATGCTAACATCAAACCAAGGAGCTTCAGGAACAGGTAATGGGGTGTAAAGACCTGCTTTAGTAAGAACTCCCTTTGAACGCTGGCACACAAAACAACGATCCACAAAATGTGTCACATCACTTCTCATTTTGGCCAATAAAAGTCAGCCGACACAAGAACAAGAGTCTTGTCTCGACCAAAATGCCCTTCATTGTGGAGCTCACTGATAATCTGCTGCCGCAAGGAACAATCTGGAATGCACAGCTGTTGCCCTCGAAATAGATAACCATTGTGCACAATAAAATCACATCGCTGACCAGAAATTACCTCCATAAATATCTTTCCAAACGAAGGATCATCCTTATACATGTCTGCGAACACATCAAATCCTGTAACTCGATTGCTCATGGAGGTGAGAAGCAGACAGCGCCGACTCAAGGCATCGGCAACACGATTCACGCTGCCCGCTTGGTGCTTTAGAGCAAAGGTGAACTCCTACAAGTATGCCACCCATTTGGCATGTCGTCTATTCAAGTTGTGCTGCCCATTGATATACTTTAAAGCCTCGTGATCAGTAAACAAAATGAACTCCTTCTGTATTAAATAATGTCGCCAATGTTTTAGTGACTGAACAATGGCATAGAACTCCAGATCATACGTGGAATAGTTCTTCTGGGCACCCGAAAGTTTCTCACTGAAAAACGCAACCGGACGCCCCGTTTGGCTCAGCACCCCTCCAATGCCAATGCCGGATGCATCACAGTTGACCTCAAACACTTTGTCAAAATCTGGAAGTGCTAAGACTGGTGCTTGAGTCATCTTTTGTTTCACTTGCTCAAAGCTACACTCTGCTTCCTCAGTCCACTAGAATTCTCGACCCTTGAGACACTCGGTGATGGGTGCAATTAGGCTGCTGAAATACCTGATGAATCTGCGATAGAAGGATGCTAGACCATGGAAACTACGAATGTCGTGTAGTGACCTTGGTCTAGGCCAGCTGTTAATTGCCTCAATCTTTGAGGGATCTGCATGCACTCCGTCAGTGGACACCACAAAACCAAGAAACTGCACTGAAGTAGTGAAAAAGAAGCACTTCTTCTTGTTGATGAACAAACTCTCTGTTTTTAGCACTTCAAAAACAGCACGTAGGTGCTCAAAATGGGCAGCCCAAGTAGGACTGTAAATAAGGATATCGTCGAAGTAGACAACCACGAACTTCCCCATAAAAGGTCTCAAGACCTGATGCATAAAACGCATGAATGTGCTCGGTGCGTTGGACAGCCCAAAAGGCATTACCAACCACTCATATAATCCCTACTGCGTCTTAAATGCTGTTTTCCACTCATTTCCGGGCTTGACCCGCACTTGGTGGTACCCACTCTTAAGATCGATCTTGGAAAAAATTTTAGAACCCGATAACTGATCTAGCATGTCATCAAGTCGGGGAATGGGAAATTGGTACTTCACTGTAATTCGGTTGATTGCTCGGCTATCAACACACATGCGCCAAGACCCATCCTTCTTTTGTACCAACAAGGCAGGAACTGCGCATGGGCTCATACTTTCCCTGATATAGCCCCTTTCAAGTAAGTCCACAACCTGTCGCTGCAGCTCTTTTGCCTCCTTGGGGCTGAGACGGTATGCTGGTCTGTTCGGAAGGGTACAACCTGGGACGAAATCAATTTGGTGCTGGATGTCCCTCAACGGTGGTAAACCAGGAGGAAGGTCCTCCGGCATCAAGTATGAGAACTCCGCCAACAGTTGTTGCACCTCAACAGGCAAGTCACACTCTTCGTCACCAGCATTGTTAACGTAGGGCAGCAATGCATATACTACCCTTTCATGCGCAATCTCATCTAGGAATTTGGACCTAGACAACAAATTAGTGGGAATAACACTTGGAGTTGGAGGGGTTCCCTCTCGTCGTGGAGCTAACATAATTTTCTTTCCTTTCATTACAAAAGAATATGTGTTCTTCCGACCATCATGAATGACATTACGATCATACTGCCAAGGTCTCCCTAATAGAACGTGACATGCATCCATCTTCACAACATCACACCAGTGGCTATCATAATACTTATTACCAATTGAAAAGGAAATAAGGCATTTCTTATCAACAGTTACCTCAGAACCTTTATTCAGCCATGACAATGTATAGGGCTTAGGATGATGCTCAGTTTTCAACTGCAACTTCCTTACAGCTTCTTCTGAGACTATATTGCCACAACTGCCTCCGTCTATTATCATCTTGCAGACCTTACACCTCCGATGGTGCAAGTTATACTGAAGATGTTGTTTCTTAACCAATCATCCTTAGAGTCATCCTTTGGAGCTAGCAGACTCTTACGCACAACCAGATTCTCACGTCCGTCTCCGTAAAGCACATCATCTTCTGCATAGTCGTCATAGGTAGGTTCACCGTACCCCTCGGTTTCTTCAGTTTCATCTGTCATGTTTTCCTCAATGAACAGGCTCTTGCCCTTCTGCACGGCCGGCTTTTTACACTCATTTGCCCTATGTCCTGGTTCACCACATCGATAGCACTTAATCGTACTACTAGAAGCTCCATGCGTCCCCTGGACTCCCTGTGTGGTCGGTCGAGGCTCTTGGGGTCGAGCCGGACGGTTGTTGGTCACCGGCTTCCTGTTCTGCTGCTTCTCAACTGCAAGGGCCCTTTTGTATGCCTCAGAAACAGTCCATAATGAATGGAGGTTGAGAACATCCTGCAACGATTGACGCAAGCCTGCCATATATCGAGCCACAAGCTGCTCCTCCGATTCAGACAGATCGTTGCGGGCAATCAACTGGTAGAATTCTTCGGTGTAATCATCAACGGACCTTGTTCCCTGCCTCAACGTATGGAGTCGTTGAAATAGGGTTTGTGTGTATCCGAAGGGAAGAAAGTGTGCTCTCATCTTACCCTTCATCTTCTCCCAATCATTGATCTTTGGTTTGCCCTTCTTCTCACGAGATCGCCGCATCTGTTCCCACCATGCACAGGCTCGTCCATGGAGTTTGATAGCCACGAGCTTCACTTTGTCACGATCAGGAACGTCCTTATACTCAAAGATCCGATCCACCTCGTTCAGCCAGTCAATGAAATCATCGGCCTGCAGGGTTCTTGAAAAACTAGGGATTTCCACCTCAAACCCTAGCCCTCCGCGATAGTCATCACGGACGCAAAAATCACGACCGCGAGGTTCGCGATGATACGGGTTCTCGAACGATGATCGGGAGCCCTGATCTGACTCCTCATGATCCTCCAAATCTCGCACTGCCAGGAGCCGTGTGAGTTCCGCGATCTGCTGCCGCATAACCTCGTTCTGCCGCTGTAGATCTGTTATCACCTCCACATCGTCAAGGTGCTGCTCTCGTCAGGGGGGTTCGTTACCCATAGGTTGCCCACGGCCGCGACCTCGTGCACGCACCATTGATGTTGAAGGATGATCTTCCTTTATTCGTCGAACCAGGCTCTGATACCAACTGAAGCCGAATTAAATCAAGGCGTAGGGCTAGAACGAGAAGAACAACGAAAGAAAGGGAAAGATTGAAACACTAGGAGAAGAATTCCGCTCTAGGTATAGGAAAAATTCTCAAATAATGATAGTCTGCATGAATTATGCCCACAAGCCGGGCTATAAATAGCTGAAAAAACAAAGGGACTGAAACCCTAAAAGATGGAAGACAAAACGGGCCTAAGAATTAAAAAAAATGGGCTAACTAAAAAAAATAGGCCAAAGGCCCAAAGACACAAAAATTAAAAAATGAAGGCCTTAATCCTCTCCTGCATCAAAGAAGAAGAAGAAGAAGAAGAAGAAGAAGAAGAAGAAGAAGAAGAAGAAGAAGAAGAAGAAGAAGAAGAAGAAGAAGAAGAAGAAGAAGAAGAAGAAGAAGAAGAAGAAGAAGAAGAAGAAGAAGAAGAAGAAGAAGAAGAAGAAGAAGAAGAAGAAGAAGAAGAAGAAGAAGAAGAAGAAGAAGAAGAAGAAGAAGAAGAAGAAGAAAATTAGGTCAAATTGAAAATTTTAAAATATATATAATTCTAATTTAGCCCAAATAACTGGAAGTTAACCTGGAAACGTGTAAATGAACTTTTAATGAAAGGATTATGTAAGTTCATGTACTTTTGTGAAAGGATTTAAAGTTGAGGTACCACTTCGAAATTCTAGTGAAAATTCAGGTACAATTACTTATATACCCTATCTAAAATTTATCGGCACGGACCGGATAATTCCGGGTTTAGACAGGACCGGACCGGAACCCAGAATTCTAAATTTTTGAAGAGCGAAGACCGGACCTGAATATTCTTGGCTTGTCCGGACTAGTCCGTTTCGATCCGGTTCAAGTCTAAATTCCGGTGTAGACCTTTTAATGCACAGCCCTACTTATTTATCCTTAACATGCTTCTTGTGCATTGAGTTTTGGCACCCGCCACCTGTTAGCAGACAATGAAGGCATTCTTCTTCTTGAAAGATTCTTTGAGGCTTCTGATCATTTTTCGGTCATTTTTCGGTGATGAGAATATATTGGTGCATATTTTCTAAATCATAGGGGCACTCGTGCTCATTTCTTATTTTTCATTAGAAATAAAAATAAAAAATAGTTAATTTGAAACGTACAAATGTAGTATATGTAACTATTGTTTTGTTCAAACAAAAATAATTTTCAAATTTAAGAACATTATAAAAACAATTTTAAAAAGAAATTTAAAGAACCTTGATTAATAAAAAACAAATAAAGGAAGAAAGAGGAAAAACAAAAAATAAACGATAAATAAGAAATGGGCAATAATACCTCTATGGTTTGGAAAAAAGGCATCAATGCCATTTTCACAGGAAAAATAGCCGAAAAATGATTAGAGAGGATATGAGTGTAATATTTTAAAAATACAAAATCTTTAGAAATGAGTTTTGAAAAAGGTAGGATGTTGATGCCTATTTTCCAAACACTGATACGGAGTACTATATTACTATGTGGTCAAATTTTATACTCCATCCCTTTCATATAACACTTCCACTTTCATTTTTTATTTTCCCCAAAACACTTCTATGTTCTATTAAAAAACCACTTTTACCCCTACTTTTTCTTACCCTACCTATCACATTATACAAATTTACTAATAATCTATCCATAATATTTTACTTTTACCAATCACATTAAGAGCAAAATTGAAAAATCAACCACAACTATTTATTTATTATTTTTTCTAAAAGTCAAAATCATAACCATTTTATGAAACGGAGACAGTACATTCATGAGTTAACCAAATCCAAACATTCAATAAAATTTCAGCAAATAATATTTCAAAATAACTGTTGTACTATTCTTTTCCTCAAAAAAAAAAAAAAACTCTTGTACTACTTTGGTTCCATGTAAATTTCCGTGCTCTACTTTTTCGTGTATACTCCAGAATTTGGAAACAAACACAATCAATTGTTCGATACTTCGAATTTCGGCTGCCGTTTAGATATTTGTTCCATAAAAGCCAATAGATGGGCAAACAATAGAAAAACTAAAATTTAGAGAAACCATTTCGGTATGAAAAGAAGAGGAAAAAAATACACATTGCATGCGAATGGAGGTTGGATGAATTTGGGAGGGATTAAGAAAATGCATAGTAATTGAGGAATAATTGAGAAAATACATAGTAATTGAGGAATTTGGGCGGAAGCATAGTAATTGTACACAAGTAGTCAATCATATTTTAGCACGAAAACATTACTCCCTCCACCTGTGGCCACAGGCAGGGTTGCAGCAAACAAAGAACAGAGCCATTCCTTCTTCACCCCTAGCAGCTGCCTGCGCAAACACACAACAACAATGTGTTAGGATATGGTTTGTGGGGGTAAAATAGTCCTTTCCCTCACCAACTCTTTCCAAATTAAGGATGAGATCCCACATTAGTGAAGCTAAGAAAGATCAAACTCCAAACAGAATGAAGGAAATGCACATTGATGTATCTAAACTAAGATGGAGAAGAGTAGCAGTGAAGTATGAACCATTGAAAGCCCTAATCCGAGAGTACAAATATAAAGACCTGAAAGAAGACGGCCTCTCCATGACCACATTGAGAGCATTTCACAGATTTTGTGCGAGGGAGCGTTGGATCTGCAGTTACATCATGTAAGACTTGTGTGCGCTCACCAAGAGGATGATGTACTTCGTTTCTGTACACGCAATTGTTGTCAGCAACCTCCTGCCAAACATTAGATTGGAGTAACATGATGAAACTAGAGCTAGCAAAATGATAGTACGATTAAAAAATATTACTCTACTAGAAACAAGCACACACATGAATCATATGATTACTGACGAATGTATACAAGCCAATTGATTAGGCAAAGCCTTCAGGTGGACGTTGAATTATTTGATAGAAGTATATGTTTCCACTTCCCATAGTTTAGTCAGATAACTAATAGATCTACAGTACAAATAAAATGGGCAACAAAAGTGTTTCGATGCAAAATGTGTGCATTTGTTTCTGGAATACATACAATTATGAGAGAGTATTAACAAATGACAAACATAATAACCTATCTTCACAAAGAACACGATGCCTTGTTTCAGGCATACCTTCAAAAAAGAGCTTATCCTATAGGACCGACCTATACCACTCGAAGAAGTGGCCATTTCCCCCCTCGGAGAAGAAATTCTCTCTCCCGAATATCCAAATTAAAAATTGGGGTGCAGCAAAATACATACTCCGTATAAGTTAGGATACAAGTGAAACAACTACTTAGTAAGTTATAAGACTAGACAAACACCAATGAAAGAGGCAGCTGACGAAAGTGATGTAATCAGGTGGTGGTGAATAGAATTGATACTTTAATGGCTAAATCAAAAGCCAAGCTCTACCGGACATAAACAGGCTCTAATGAAGAGGCGAAAAGACAGTACCTGGTGATCGCAATTACGGCATGCATAGAGGAGGATCTTCTGGTCCTTGTCTTCCTTTGGGTACAGAATGTTGTTGCTGTTCCAACAAACTCATGTCAACACACACTGCGTCAAGTGAAGAAGATAATGAAATTACTTCAATAATCTAACCATTCGCGGCAAAATTTCATGGTACTCATTCTTGCGAATCTCTTCTTTCCGCTCAAGAAATAAATTCCTATCTCTGCATCGCGCGCTCTGGCTCTCCACCCCGTTCTTCGATTAAAAACCCTAGGGTATAGGTCTCTCCAAGCCCCACAATTTTGGCTATATCAATTGTGACCCCTACGGAATTCTCCAGTATTTAGGTGAGCACGGCAGGGTAAGCTATTTGGCTTGTACCGATACTGTACCAAATATTTTGGTTTGGTACGGGATTTTATTCTGTATCGATTTCCATCTCGAAATATCGATTTGGTATGGTTCAGGATGGTTCGGTATCGATTTCGGTACAAATCGAAATAAATATAGATACCTACTTTACGCATTAAAATTTAACAAAGCCCCTTTATTTTTGAAAATTAAAAAGTAAATTTAAATAAAAAAACATGAAAAATTAAAAAAATGAATATTTAAATGAAAGAGATGCGTATCAAAACTTAGTTTATATTTCACAAATTAAAAAAATGAACGACAATAAAGGAGTATTTTGAATCTTTGTGAATATTTTTATGTTCATACACAAAACCTAAAACTCAAACAAAAGTATAATTTACACGTAATAGAACTTGAACCATTTTTTTAAAAAAATTATTATTTAATGAAGAAATATAAAATTATTACTCCGGGGTAGTATGTTTTATACTCCGTAATATTTTAGTATACATGTTCGGTTCGGGATTTTCGGTATGGGACGTCATCTCGTACTGTTCCCAAATACCGTACCGACCATTCGGTTCGGTATGGTTCGGTTTCTTCTCGCTACTTTTTCGGTTCGGTATTTTTTGGTTTGGTATTCTCGGTTTTTTCGGGAAATTTCGATATCGGTTCGGTACTTGCTCACTCCTACCAGTATTTATTAAACTATCGTTATTCGTTAATTCGTTCAATAACATCCTATTCCCTATTTAAATATTGCATTTGTTTTACTTCCCATAACATTCTATACATTTTTTTCACGGTTCCGTGAAATCTCTATTGGACTATTGGTATGTTTGAAAACTTGATATCCGATTTACTTTATGATATATCAAATAAGAACTAAAATAAGAAAAGAAAATAAAAAAAATTTAACCATATAAATAATAAACAAATTTGATAAAAGAGAAAGTATTCTTCATTCTTATTGTAAACCGTTCAAACCAGATAAAATTATAAGAAATAACTTTAAATATAAATTTAACCAATTAAGCTCGGATTAGGCTATATCAGATTTGGCCTTTAGACAATCTGATGAGATCTATGTCAAGGAACCAATTCAACCAAACACTCAAGCTTATAGTTGTTGCCCAGAAAGAGTTATTATTTATATTCTAACACGCCTCCTCAAATGCAGGCGTAGTCGTTTTCGAGCCTTGCATGTAAAACTTTTTAATTTTCTTAAAACTGGTGGTGAGTTTCAAACCTGTGACTTCTTAGTGAACAAGGCTCTGATACCATGTCAAGGGTCAACCATAAGCTTGGGTGTTTGGTTGAATTGGTTCCTTAACATGAAGTTTAAGTTTTTGGTTGAATTAGTTCCTTGACAACCTATTCAAATTAGATAAAGAGACCACTCTTTAACACTCAAATGCTGCATAGCATCAAAATACTAAATTTATAATCGCTATATACAAAGTTAGAGTCCGTTTGGTGAGTTCTGGCGATATGAGTTATGAAATTTGGAAGAAATGATATGAGTTTTGAAATCTGAAACAAATTTGTTTGGAGATATTTAAAATTATTATTTAATTAGTGATAAGCAGGGGTGACCTATAACGTGGTGAAGGAAATTCGGGAGATATCGAAACCCTTTATTTGAAGAATTTATGGTATCCACAGATATCAATATGATAGATATTTTTCGGCTTCACCAAACATTTAAAAGGAATTCTGATTTTTGGAGAAATCAAAACTCTTATCTTATTTACTCATCAAATACATCATTAATATTCAAATAAGAAAGATGTGTATTCAAACTAAATAATAACTTGTGCATATACTCCGAATGGCTATATTTTTGAAATATTAACCTCTCTTATCTAAATATACTCATCTCTTTTGGGACATGTCAAGTATAGGATCTCTGTCATCATTGTCGATTAAATATGTCAAAGAACAACATATCACAACACTAAAATTCCCAGTTCAAATTATCACATACAATATATATCCGTTTTGCCCTTCTTAAAATATATATACCACACTATCGGTGAGACCCTAAGCACAAACCTTAGGCACATACAACACTGAATTTCCTTTGTTCCATATATTGTGTACATTATCTGTTCGTGTTGAAGTACTTTAAAGACCTAATTGTCTGAAAAACATAAGGATATAACAACTATATTCGTCAAAAAACAACACACCTATCACAACACTAAAATTCCTCTATTCTAATTATTACATACATTATCTGTTTATGATGGTATAATTTAAATAACATACTGTCTGTGAAAACAAAGTGACAAACAAAATAATCTTTTGTCACAACTTCATGATTTTAAAGCTGTTTTAAGAAGTATGTTATCAAATATCCTCATCTAATTACATAAAAGGACTATTTTCCATTCTTTAATATTATCACAAAGACTTCTCATTTGTGTTGCAACTTCATATACATCATAGTCTCTGTGTGAGTTACAAAATTGAACATTAGAATGACAGGGGTTCATATATTGTTTACTGTACGAATTAACTTACTTGCAAACATAGGAATGACCGGAGGTTCTTCGTACATTATCACGCACACACTCTAACAAAGCTTTCAAGATTTACGATGAGGGTGATGGAAACCTACATATAACACTTGCAGATTATGAAGATGATTGACGATAATGGTGGTGACGATGATGCTAACGGAAATTGGTGATGATGACTGGGGGTTAACAAGAACCAAACCGATCCCGGTATTTCCCGAAAAAAAATCAAGAATACCGAACCAAAAAAATACTAAACCGATAAAGTAAAGAAAAGAAACTGAATTGTACCGCATCGAACGGTCGGTCTAGTCTTTGGGAACGGTTCGAGGTTACTTCCTATACCGAAATTTTTGAACCGAATATATATACTAATATATTATAAAAATAGTAATCTTTTTATATTTCTGCATTAAATAAATAATTTATATAGACAATTTAGTTTAAATTCATTATGTTTAAGTTGCACTTTAATACGAATTTTTTTTGTTGATGAGTAGAAGAATATTAACAAATATTTGAAATAATACTTTGTTATCACTCTCTCTTTAGTTTGTGAAATATAAACTAACTTTCATAAGCATTTTTTGCATTTTATTTTTTCATTTTTAATTTTTTATCTTTCTCTAATTAAATGTACTTTTGGTTTTTCAAAAATAAAAGGTGTTTTTACATTTTATGATGTAAACTAGGTACGTATATATTTATCCCGATTCGTACCGAAACCGATACTGAACCATACCGAATTGATGCTTTGGGATAGGGATTGATACAACGCAAAATCCGATACCAAACCGAAATATTTTGAACGGTATCGGTACGAGCTAAATATCGTACCATACCATACCATGTTCATCCCTAATGATGACGCGCCACGGTCAAGAACATCCTACGCCGTGTACTTCTTGTGCAGTCGACAAACGATGGAGGGTTGGCTCTGACATCCAATGGAGGGCGGGTGGAAGGAGGTAGTCTAGCTCGATTGCGTCATATAAAATCTCAGAGTAATTGGCGACAAAGGTGAGAGATTGTGCAAGGGAATGTGCAAGGAAAAAAGGTGGGAAGCAAAGTGGGGGGTGTGTGTGGATGTATATGGTGGTCATTTGGGATAGCAGGACTCTTTTTTTTGTGTGTGATGTAAATGGAAGATGATATCTCCACTTTTACACTGAGAGTTTGACACTAAATCACTACCATAGCCCTGCCTTTAATCGCCGGTGTTGACGGATAGTCCACCACGAACGATCATGGCATACATGATTTTTTGGGTAATTTTCTTGATATAATTTGCACGGTTGTGAAAATAACCATGCTACACTTACACCAAAAAATATATCTCATTTGTACACGACAGTTATGCATAAATATTTTAAGGGATAAAGACCAAAGTAGGACTAAAACTTTGAAAATATACTAAAATAGGACTTCCATGTTTTTATTCCCGAAATAGGACTTACATTACAAACCATGGTCATATATAAAAAATTACCAAAAGACATAAAAATTTGCACATGTATACTGCCACATTACCACAATGCAAGGTCACATTACCACAATGTAAAGTCCTATTCCGGGAAAAAAAATATAAGAGTCCTATTTTGATACTTTTATCTATGTTTTAGTCCTATTTAGAATGATTTCTAATATTTTAATGATTTACATCAATATAAGTATTAGTGCATTAAGAAAAATGGATTGGATTCGAAGACAAAGGACTAAATGAGAGGCGGCAAGATAAGGAGGGAAATTGTTTTTAGCTTTTTTTTTCATCTTTTCAAAACGGAAAATGTAAGAAAACCAAAATCCCCCTTCCACATCGCGAAATAGCAATCCCCAAAATTGCGGTTTCATATTCCCACTTGCACACTCGCATCAAGAGAGGGAAAATGGAGAAAAAAAGAGCGAGAGAAGAAGTTGAAGAAGAAAATAATGGAGCAGCTGAAGAGTACGAGCAGTACAGAGCTCAGAGAATAAAAGCGAACATGGAGCGAATGAAGAATTTGGGGCTTTTTGAGCTTTCCAAGAAGCTCAAACCTGAAAATCCCCCAAAAGCATCTCGTAAACCACCTCAGAAGCGCCCTCCTTCCGATGACCCCCTCCGGCGCTCCTCCAGGTATTCTCACCTTGAAACCCTTGTTCTTTGTTGCGCTGATTCACACTATCACATGTGGAATTCTCGTTTTTGTATGTATACATTCATGAATGTATGGATGTTGCTGTTGGTGCTTTGATTGACTGATATTTATGAAGGATTTTACTGAATGTTAGTTTCCCTGTACTGTTTTTTCTTCAAGGATTTCTGGGTTTTAGTGGATAGTTCAATAGTTTCTAATCGATCACTCCTTACTTCAGCATGGAGTATGATTTGAACTCTTTGTCGGGGTCCTCTCTGAAATGTCATATCTACTTGAGTAAATGTGATGGTTTGAACATTTGTTTCATGTAAACGGTCACAAGTATTTCTAGTTGTTCAAGATTTAACATATAAATTATGGGTTTCTGTGTTAGGTTGACAACTAGGGCTCCTGTGAATTATTCAGAGCGAAGAGAACCTAAGGTAAGGGAGAAGTTTCCAAAGAACGTGAATATTTGTATAGCAGAGGGTGAAAAGCCTGAGGTGTACACAGAAGAGCACAAAAAGTTGCTAGGTGATTCCAAGAACAACTGGACTCTGTATGAAGACGGGTACGATGAAGATGGAATGCGCCTGTATGACCCAGACATTGGGAAGAGTTGCCATCAATGCAGGTACATAGCTGTTGATAGTTCAACTTCAATTTGTGATGCACTATCATTTTTCTATTCCAGCTACAAGTTATCTTAATTTGTATATTCATTTATTACCAGAAGAGGAATGCAATATATATACTCCCCCCCCGCGCACACACACACACGGAGTATAAGATGGAAGATTCATCTGTTATTTTGTTTATATTTTGCTTAATATTATGACTGTGCAGGCAGAAAGTTATGTGTAAACACACTGAATGCAGCAAGTGCAAGTCGACTCAAGGGCAATTATGTGGAGATTGCTTATACATGAGGTGATTTAGAAAAATAAGATAAAATACCACATCCTTTTCTATCCTTATCTTTTTTTTGTGTGAAGCACTGCTGATTTTATTTACTGAGTAAGGGGGACTAATAACCTGACTCCCTTCTACAAATAGAACTAGGGAGTCGTGGATCAGGTTAAGTTAGTATCATTTATAATCTCATCCCACATGCTTTGTGACTTCACTTTTGCATCTGTGTTAAAATCCTCCGGAGTCCCTCACCTGTGCTTGCTTGTGAGTTTTTGTATTTCCATAACATGCAATTGTCGATAAAACAAATGTGTGAGTCATGATAGATTTAGCTTGTTTTCACCATGAGAAGATTAAGTAATGCTGTATAATATACTATTAGTATCATCTGCAACCTCACTAGAAATGCAAATGCTTCTTGAGTTCTTGCACACTTATATGTTCCTGCTTCAAAGTCATTCTACTCTTTCCTTGTGTGTAGGTACGGGGAGAATGTGATAGAAGCTAATGAAAATCCAAACTGGACTTGCCCTGTTTGTCGTGATATATGCAACTGTAGTCGTTGCAGACGTGGAAAAGGATGGGCTCCCACTGGTGCAATATATAATAAGGTAAAACCAATTTAATTTAAATTTTTTGTTTCTTTGTTTTCAGAGCATCCTATCATTCCTCCTCTTTTTCCAATTTCTAGCTACAAGTGTCACATTACCAACTGAGACGCTGTACTCTAAGATATATATAGTACTAAAATTTCAGGTCTCCAGCATTGGTTACAAATCTGTGGCACATTATCTTGTTTTAACAAGTTTGCAAAAAGAGAAGGGAGATGAAAGCTTGGGCGATGCAAATGCAGTTTCTAATGAACCAGACAGAGACATGAAGGGAACAGTTGAAACACACAGTCAAATGGAAGAAGAAGAAGAAGCATGGAGTCATGGCAGTGAAGTTGAAGATGCTACTGGCGACGAGGACTCAGAGTAGTGATTGTGAGGGTGTGATGTCCCTTTTTATGATATATCATATTTTTGTGATTAACTTAGGCAAGTGTTAGCCAAATTTCCAAACTCTATTTTTGTGTCAATGGGTAACATTCCCTTTGTCCCTATTTTATCTTCCTTTTCTTTTTTGTTTTATCCATCCCAAGATTATCAACTCTTTCTTTTGAAGGAAATGATTCTACACTAGATACTGTTTCTCTCACATCTAGACTGGATGACTCTTAAGTGTTAACTACATGATCTTCACTTTATTAAAAATGATGTAAAGTCAAAACAAGATATTAAAAAAATGGATGAAGGGAGTAACGATTGATTACGCAACTACAGGAAAATACTGATCAGCAAAGTGTTGACAAAATCCGCATCCAAGATGGAATAGTCAGGTGATTGATTCAGATAATGTAACAGCAGTCTATTCTAATTAAAGCCAACCCTGGTAAGAGAAAAAACACCAATCACCAAATACGCCATGTCCAACTGGAAGCTACAAATTGTTTGCTATCAAAACTCATTTTGGCAGTTGCACGATTAGAGCATATCACTGTTCTCTATTACAAGTCGTCCTAAGGCTTCCCTCAAATTTAGCGTGTTTCGCATGGTTCTCCTTCCAATGCCCCCATTGCCCTTCCTCATCATTGCAGCAAATTCCCCATAATCAATCTGCCCGTCCTGCACAATATGGGAAAATATTATTATATACTTGGTGAAATAGGAAGAGAACACTTTTTTTTTTTATATTTACAAATCCCCTAATACTTGGGGCCTCAAAGAGATGCAAAAGGGCATACTAACATTATCTTGATCAATTTCTCTGATCATTTCATCAAGGTTAAGCTCACTTAAACCAAACTCTTTGCAGGCTTGCTGAAGCTCATCAATGGTGATGTATCCACTACTATCCTTGTCGAAGAAAGAGAATGCTGACATCAGATTTTCTTCTCTTTCCAACTTGTTCAAGTGCACGGTGGCAGCAAGAAACTCTCCATAGTCTATTGTCCCACTGTTGTCAATGTCTGCCTGTCAGATAAACCATAACCAATGGAATTTTCCATCAACAACAGAACAGTGAGGAAAAATTCCATGTCATGAAGATTCGACAAAATTTTACGTTGGTTGCCGACACCTAACACAACCCTCCTCTTTTATCCGGGCTTGGGACCAGCTATGTAACGGGGTTACATAGGCAGAGCTAGTGAGGAAAAATACGTAACTAAAATTAAAGGAAAACGAACATGACAGAATTACTAGAATTTAATAAATGCCAAGGAAAAAAAATCATACAGCGTCCATAAGATCCTTGATCTCGGATTCCATTAGCTCAGATCCAACTCGCCTTAAGCCCTCTTTCAGTTCATCAAAGGTTATAGTTCCGCTATTGTCAGTATCAATCATTCTAAATAGTTGTTTGAGGCCACCAATCTCCTCTTCAGATAGCCTCTCAGCGATCACCTGCTTAATATGTGTGGCAGGCAGCAGGGAATAAGAAAAATAGGGAGAGCTTGAGACATGACACATCTTGTTGTTTATATATTATTAGAGCATAATTGCAACACTATTTATTTTTCTGTTTTTTAAGGGAGAAAAAAAGTAAAAATGCGAAACGAGAGCTGAAAGAAGATGCCATAGAAAGTGTGTAAGGAATCGTACACGTAAAGCCATCTTTTTAAGTTTATTCATTGCAGAGAACTGTTTCAAGCGTGAAAGAACTGCAGAATCAAGAGGCTTGTCAGGGGCAACACTGTCGTCCACAATCCAAGGATGGCCTAAAAATTCAGAGGAAGCAGGAAGGAGATGTTATCTTTTTAAGTTTACTCATTCAGATGGCCTAAAACATAAGAGAATCATTTTACAACTGTATTTCATGAACAAATTCACAAGCCACGCATCGGAAGGACTCACATAAAACTTCATGGGCAGTCAACCTCCTTTTAAAATTCCGGTCAAGCATTTTACGAATCAAATCTTTGGCACTGTCTGAAATTCCTGGCCAGGGTTCAGATTCAAAATCAAGTTTTCCTTGCAATATCTGCCTGAAAATCCCCACCTCGGTTTCTAAAGTAGAGGAACAGCAGCAGCGGAAATAGTGTGAGTTACTGACTTACTGGAGGTAGAACCAATCTTAATAAAGTAAAAAACTGATATTGTTTACTTACCCAGTGATGGTAAATATCAGTTAATTACCTGCCCAAAAAGGTGGAACTCCACTTAGCAAAATGTACAATATAACTCCAGCACTCCACACATCTGATTCAGGTCCATAATGCTTGCACAGTACCTCTGGCGCTACATAGTAAGGACTTCCTACCACATCTGAGAATGTTTCCCCTATACTTGACAATAGGAGAACACATAAGAGTAGGAAATGTGTCTCTGTGTGTAAAATTGCACCACTAATATAACATTGATATGTGTGTATTTATAGAATGTTCATAGTAACATGTTCATAATATCAAACCACCAATACAAAAACTACTCAACTATGAGTAAACCTCATTACGGCACATTACATGCATACAAGAATAAAATTACTCAAGTCATTCAAGTGCCCTCCCAAAAATTTAATAAATAAACTAAAAACCAGAATAGACACAATCATAAGAACCCACTGTCAATCAATAGAGAAAACTACATAGCAAATTATTATATTGATAAATTTTCCACTCTCAACAGCTTAAGGCCTTCATGAAAAGGGAAATCAAATCTCAAAAGGTCAAAAAAGCAGCATTTCTCTCAACTGACGCCAATATAGAATTTTCAAGAAATTGGACACAAGGATGGCCACAAAACACATCATTCACAACATCCACAAAACCACTCACATTGTGATCTAAACCGGATAAGAGCCATGGTCAAGCAAAAAAAAAACTTTTCCAATCACATCATAAAACCGCAAAAGCAACTAGCAGAGGGCAGAAGAGCTAGAGAGAGTGATGGAGCAAACCAGGTTTGTAGAAAACAGAAAGGCCAAAATCTGTGGCCTTGAGAGCAGCATCCTCATCGGAGCTAAGGAACAAGAAGTTCTCCGGCTTGAGATCTCTGTGCATGACCCCCAAAGAGTGGCAGGCCTCCACCACCCCAACAATGGTCTTGATTAGCTTAGCAGCCTCCCTCTCGCTGTAATGCCCTCTCTCCACAATCCTATCGAACAGCTCCCCGCCTGCACATAGCTCCATCACTATGTGCACAAACATTCCATCCTCATAGGTTCCCTTTATCCTCACCACATTTGGATGCTCAGACAAATGGTGCATTATCTGAATCTCCCTCCAAACATCCTCATAGTCCTCCTTGCAGAACAGTTTCTTCTTCGGGATGCTCTTGCAGGCGTACAGATCGCCCGTGGCGTTCTCTTTGCACTGATGGGTTGTCCCAAACTGGCCTTGCCCAAGCTTCTTGCCCATGGTGTACAGCTGCTGAAGGGCCTGGGTCCTGTACGGTAGGATCCAGGCGGGCTTCGTGGGGATTGGGAATCGTGTTATCGGAGATGGTCTGGGTGGAGGGTCTGGTACTGTTGCCGTTTCTGATCTTGACGAAGCCATTGAAGCTAGGTTTCCAATAGATCTCTCTTTATCTTTCCAATCAATAAACAAAACAAATCTAGCTTTCCTCTATCTCTCGCCCTATATTTGCTCAACCATATCTTTCCTTACCTTTCCAGTCTTGGATTTCCGTGATGGATCAGGTTGACTTAAGTCCTTTTTGCTGGTTAAAATAACGCCACACTTTGCAGCTGTCATCAATAGGGGAAAACAAGCAAACGCGGGATCAGCAAAGGCAAGCGTGCGCTTTAGATGTGTTTGTTTGGGTAGGGTATTTGTGGCTTTGGGTGAAGGACTAAAGGTCATGGTTGATGTTTGACTCCTAGAGCCAAGAAATTGAACTACTGCCATTTTTTGGACGAGCCGTCTGGATGGTCCAAGAAATTGAACTACTGCCCATTTTTTGGACGAGCCAGACCTTGTGTGGATGGTCATATCTGCCTACTTAAGCGGGCTGAATTATCCATCGGACTGTTCATTCAAAAACAATTCAAAAAAACATATGCCAAAAAACTTACTACTATTACTCGCACAATTTATCAACCAAAGCAAAGAAAAGAGAGTAAATCGGTCACACATTCTCAGTGATACTGGTGAAAGTATTGCCTTGAGCCCTCAACCCATCTGTTGAAATAATCAATTGCCATTACAGCTAAACGCATCCTGCCCGACCAGGGTATAGCCCCTACCAGATCAAGTCCCCATCTAGAGAATAGGATCACTATGCTTATTGAGGTGTAGTTGGTTGTCAATTTAGGCCCCGTTCCGTTCAACTTATTTTTTCTTATTTTTTCTTATTCTTATTAAAATCAGATCAGATCAGACCAGATCACATCGAATCAGATCAGATCAGATCAGATCAAATCAGATCCAATCAGATCAGATCAGATCCAATCAGATCAGATCAGGACTTATTAAAATCAGATCCCATCAAGAATTATTATTATTATTATTATTATTATTATTATTATTATTATTATTATTATAATTATCATCATCATCATTATTAGTATTGTTCTTAAAAATGAAAAAGAATAAACTTTAGAAATATGTTAAATAGAAAATTGAGAAAGTAATCCTTAATTATTAGACGTCGGAAAAAATAGTTTTAAAATACATTGACAATGTCAATCTAATTCTACTTTTAAAATATATTTTTATTGCTACTTGTAATTTGAGTTTCTAAACTTTTGATCTTTTATAAGGATGAGATATTTTAATAAAAATACTATCTCTTCTATATATTGATTATCTAAATTTAATTACTTTTTAATGTATATCTAAATTAAATATTTATTCTAATGTATAAATCTAATTTTACAAAAATATAATCATAAAATAAAAAATATTATTACATTATAATATGAATGATTATTCTAATATATGAATTAACTATTTTTATTTTATTAAAAAATAATCATTAAATAAAAAATATTGATTTTATTATAATATGAATTATCATTACAATTTTCAAACGTTATTATAAAGTCAAATTAAATTATTGATTTGAAATTTTAAATTAAATCATAATTAATCAGATTAGACCAGATCAGATCAGATCCAATCAGATCTAATCAGATCAGATCCAATCAAATCAGATCAGATCCAATCAGATCAGATCAGATCCAATCAGATCAGATCAGATCCAATTAGATCAGATCAGATCAGATCCAATCAGATCAGATCAGATCAGACTAGATCAGATCGGAACTTATTAGAATCAGATCAGATCAGAAAAAATAAGTTGAATGGAACGGAGCCTTACCCGGAACATGTTGGAACTGCTGGCAAATCATGCACTTTCAAATGAGCTCTTCACAATCCTTCTTCCTCGTCAGACAAAAGTACCCATGGAAAATCGATCATCATGCACTGCTAAAGCCACCTGATAGGCCGTGCATATTCCGACAAGAATCTCTTCTATAACTTCATTAGCTTCTTTCTTTCGAGATAACGCAACAAGACCCCATTGTATGCCTCTTATATAACTTACAATCGCCAATGATGTAACTCGGGAAGCGCATTCTCAAAATTCTAGCTTCTTAGGGATCCTCCAGCAACTCTTTCTCATCAATGTATCGGGACAAGGGATCCAACCACTCAAGTGGGTCCGCTGTTACCCGCTCCACCACCTCCAGCTCTTAAGGCTAGACTGGCTTAGTTCTTTGATATGGACTAAGTTACTGATTCTCTCTTGGGGTTTCTAAGCCGAGTTTAGACAGATTCTCTGCCTCCGAAGTATACTCTCGGGTGACTTGGGTGATATCAAACTCCAGTGGCTCCAAAGTTGCAAGGCCTAGTCCTTGTACTACTTCATCCATTCCTCCTAGCTTCAAACTATTTATTGATCTACCCAACCACCAGCTTGGAGTCACAAAAATGAAGATTGTTTGGGATCCCATCTTGTGGTGATCCCTAAGTTGTAGAGTAATGCCTCGTATTTAGATTTATTATTTGTCACTCGGAATTTGAACCAGATCATGTAGAAAACTCGAAGTCCCTCCAGGGTAGATAACACAAACTCACCACCACAGGATTATTTCTTCTGGCAAAAGAGTTTTAGTGGGGTATTAAATTTCCCTCAAAAGAGTTCCATCTATTCCCTTATCGTATTCAAAAGGATTGATACGAAATAAATTTTTCATTTAAAATTATTTAGGCAAAGTATACTCATCTAAATTTGAATTTGATTATTTGATCAAGACACGATAACATTTTGATTTGATTGATAATGATAAAAAAGAATACGAATTGATTCTAGGCAGTGGAAACTTTTTAGCTAGTTTAACTAGTTAGACTATTAAATTAACTAATTAATTTGACTACTAAGAAGTTAGTCATAACTCACAACTACTCCATTAGTTTACCATATCTCTAGGCATTATTAATGTGCTAGTATTGGTTGGTTAAACTATTTTTCTCATTCATACACAAATGGACATAATAATTTTCCAAATATTAATTAACAAATTGGCTAGACAAATTAATTATAAAATTATTACAATTACTAGCCCTCAACCCATCTGTTGAAATAATCAATCGCCATTACAGCTCAACGCATCCTGCCCGACCAGGGTATAGCCCCTACCAAATCAAGTCTCCATCTAGAGAATGGGATCACTATGCTTATTGGGGTCACATCCCTAAAGTATTGAAACTAACATGGATATAATAAAAGTGCATATATTAAATAACCCAGCTTTTAATAAAATTATTACCAAAAAGTTATAAGTTCCAAAAAAGTGGAATTAGAACAAAGTTGGAACTAAAACTCCAAAAATTGAAAACTAAACACTTAATTTCACCACTTTAGTCTAGAGAGAGAAAGAATAGGGAGGAGATGTGGATGGTGGTAAAATGAAGGCCGAACGGTCCTCCTTATATAGGTGTTCAACAGACCAAAGTGTCGTATTAGGCGGGCGCTTGAATGGCTGCTCGGAAGTCTACGGGTTTGGACCTCCGGTTTGGACCTCGAGTAGACCGTGGCAAATCTTAATCATCCTCTCTAAGAAGGTTGGATCCAACAACACTTCTTCAATCTCCTTGTCAACCTGCACTTGAGGTCACTTCTCTTTAGCTTTTAAATACTGGGTCATAATCTCGATCATTTACATGGGTGTCATAATTCATGATTTCCTTGGTGGTGGAGACATACCAAGTTTGGAATAACTTCTGACACCGTGTAACTATTCCAACTCCTTTCGGAGTTGGGAACTTCATGAAAAGATGTTTTGCAGAGATAACATGGGTCGCCCAAGATCACGTTTGTTCTACACATGATCTTCACCACAACAAACTCCATATCTAATATCTTTATCACCTATGTATCCATTGTTTTGATGGGCAGGGTGGTTATTGAATAAAAATCATAAGAATAAGGTAATGTGTGGAAATAAAACAAGCAAGGACACTATGATTTTTGTGTTGGTTCACCACAACTTGTAGCTATGTCAAATCCTCGAAAGACTCTCTCGAGTACTATACAATCTCCATCAAACTTACAACTGCTTAACAAACTGTAACAACCGCTTATAGCTATCCCTCGTACAAGACTTCACATCGCTTGGACTCCTCAACCAAGACTTTAACCACTCGAAATCCTCACCCTAGACTTCTTAATAGAAGATAACAGTTTCTTAGCAATCAAGAAAACTCAAAAGAGAAGACATGATATTCTCACGCCTATCTTTTAACCTATACACTCCTCAAAGAGTAGGAGAAGAGATACAAAGAATGCTCTATAAATAGCATAAAGTTATCCCTAAAATGGCGCAATAAAAGCTTTATATTTAATACAAATACATTATGAGAATAATGATATGAAATGAGAGGAGTTGTTCACTCAAAATAACCAACACCAAAGGTCTCAAAAAAACTCAGTAAATGTTGCTCATTGATTGGGAATCAATAATTGATAAATCCGTTTCGTACTTATCTGTTTACTCATATTTAATTCGTTCTTGTACCATTTTTGTTATCAAAACAATAAAATTTGTTATTCTTTTTCACCACAAATATATGTTTTGACAAATTGACCATAAAAAGAATGTCTTTGAGTTAATATGTAAAAATTGGGCCAAGAATGGAGTAAAAAGAGTAAATTTTTAATTGAAAAATAATTCTATCTCCCAAACGGTGCGAAATTAGAAGTTGGTGTAGAAAGAAAAAATTTTGGCGGCCTGCCAGCCCGCCGGCGCTCCCCTGCTGCTGGTTTGTTTGCTACCCGTCACCGCCATTCCGACCGGCGGCCGTCGGTCTGCCCGCTTATGATCCGGCTTCTTCCTATAAAAAACCCTGCGGCTTCATTTCCTAGAGGAACCAATTCCATTCGATTTTTCCCCTTTTAGGATTTAGAATTTCCCCTTTTTTACTCTTAAATATTGTACTAAAATTGTGTTAGTTAAATTTCATCAATCCAAGTTAATTCTCAAGTCCTTGAAGCAATGTAAGTTTTTCTTTTCTTTTTATTGTAATCTCTATTTAACTTTTTATCAATAAAATATTACTTTGTTTATGATTGATGTGTGTTTAAGGATTTTATACGTTATTATGATGATGTTGAATGTTTTGTTGGAAATTATGAATTGGTAATTATATATGGGTTAGGATTTGGAATAAAGATTTAACCAATTTAATTTCATCTATTTATTAGCAATTGGATTAATTGTTAGAAAATGAATTAAAAACTATTAACTAATAAAATTGTTTTTATTATTAATTAATCCTTGGAAATTAATCTTTTATCTTGTCTATAAGGTAATAAGATTAATTAAGCCACACGTTCCGAACACCTAGAAATAGGTAGGGTTAGAAATAACCGTTTGGAATGGTTTTAACTAATTAATAATATTAAACATTTTATTAATTAAGTAGTTGGAAAATAGTTCTTGCCTTGTCTACGAGAATTTAGAATTATTTAAGCCGAACATTTTCTAGCACAGTACTGAGACCTAGAAATAGGAGATGTATTAGAAATATAATAATCTTATAATTAATATTGAGACCTAGAAATTGGAGATGTATTAAGTATAAGATTAGCATTTATGTTTTATATGGAAACCTAGAAGTAGGAGATATATTAAACATAAGTGCTCAACATTTCATTAATTCAATTGTTAATTAAAGATGAGTTAAATTGTGTTAAGTCCGTGTTCCGATCTTAATTCATGACGTTATTCTATCATTTATTTTAGTCACTTATTTCTTATTAATTCGCATCTCTTAGACTATAAATTTACTTGTGATAAATTATAAAACTAACTGTTTACTTTGTCACTCCTGGAGAGAACGACCCGAGTCTAACTCGGTTATTTGTTGACTTACCGTTATACGCAGTTCATCAATAATGAAATAAATCATCAATTTAAAATATTTGAACAAAATTATTCAAGGCTCACAACCGAATATTAATCTTGAAAATTGGTCGTTGATATGAATTTTCTCCTCAAGCAAAAATCTAGTTGTTATGTGCCAATGATTATAATGGCAATCGATTGTTTGGTCTTGCTTGAAATCCAGCTCAAATGCCTATGATGCTTGACAATTGACAGTTCGAAAAAAAATCATTGAGGTCATCAATTTTAGGATGTGAACATCTAAGACAACTGAAAATTCATTGTTCAAATTGTTGGGGAAGGAGACTTGGATAACGCCTTGGAAATTAAAAAAAGTCCAAAACTCGATTCTACCCATGATCAATTTACGTGAATTGCTAGTTATAGTAAGAAATATAATTTAGTGGTGAAAATAGAAAAGCGATCGCGGAGAAGATATTGAGGAGATGAACTTAGCATCAAATGTATGAAGCCTCTAATGTATCCACACGAACTTGATCCGGAGTCTTCGATTAAACTTTTACTAGCAAGTTTAATATATAGGATAGTAAAAACTAAAATATTACTACTTTGGGAGTGATAAATATATGGTAAAATATTTCTTATAAATATTTTTTACTAGTATTTCTACCCGTGCCACGCACGGGTTCAGATGAAATTTTTTTCAATTCTATATTGTAGATCTTGATTTTTATTTAGCATATTATTTAAATTGTAGATGTGGTGATGTAAGTTTTCTTCTCTAGTCCCCAGGAGATTGCTCTTCCACCTAATAGGAAAACACATCCCCGGCCAAGAGATTGCTTCTTTGATTTTATAAAATATAAATGAATCACGAGGCAATTATCTGAACCTATTATATATAAAATCCTACGGAGTAATACATATACTAATGATTTTGAATTATTGACAATTCTATGTTGTAATATTTTGAGTTCTAAGTCGAACTAGGTTTCCCTTAAAATAAGCAAAATGCTAGGGGTATACCAAAAGCGTATCCCATTTGTCCCCCACCCCCTCCATTACCACTTAAATAGGCAAGAAATTTAAAAAAAATTAAATAAATAAAAATAAAAAATAAATGAGTAGTTATGGAGGGGGTGATGTACAAAGGGGTATACCTTTTGGTGTACCCTAGGATCTCCCTTAAAATAATGTTACGTAGAAAATAGATAGCTCTAGTACTTTACCACAAACATTGTACATAAAGAAGTATTTTAGATCTTATAATTATTTGTGTGATGTAATATATTTATTCATGAGTAAATTTCTACTACGGAAAACATAGCATAAATTGTGCAGTTTTAACTTTTTGTGGTTAAAATTGATAAACTTTAATTTTTAATTAAATGTAATTAGGTGTTGATAGAAAAATAACTTTTTTATATAATATTATTTTATCTAATCAATATACTTTAATTTATAGATTTTATTTTATTATAAGTCAAAAGTTTAAAGTCTTTGATTGAAAAAAGTTAAAACTAGACAAATACTTAAGGACGTACCAGGACTGGATGCACTCTATTGAGTTGGGGGAATATGACGGTACCCCTATTAATTTTTTGTACTCTGTAATAAGGTAAAAAAATTACCAAGTAAACTTTATGTATACATGCCCTCAATAAAAAATTAATGTGACCCCATCTAATTAAGTTAAATTTAAATGTTCTGTTTAATTTTTTTAGTAAAGTTTATTTTGTTACATATAATTAATTATTTATAAAATTAAATTTCACATTAACAATTATAAAATGTTTTACCCTCAACAAATGTTTGAAATAATTTTTTTTGTCATTTCATATATGGATTAGCTTATTTAAAAAAAATTGGGGGCACTACCCCTGATCCCAATCAATGGTGCCCCCATCTAACTCGATTCTTTGATCTGTCACTCGATGTGGGTAATATTTTGACAATAGAATACAAATAATTTCTTACATTACGTTGACTTATCATTTCCATAATATATAATTTAATAATGTAGCTAACATTACTATATTTTTTAAAAAAGCTTTGAATTTTTTTCCCGTGCATCGCCAGGAAATTTACTAGTATTTTAAAAAACTGAACTGATAAACTAATGGTTCATACTCCCTCCGGCCTAAAACTTTCTTTTCAGTTACTATTCATACGATCAAACTTAAATCACTTGTTTTACCTATTTTCGGTAGTTATTTGATAAAATAATATAGTCTTGTCACATCTTGTTTTGTAGAATTTTTTATGTCGTTTTTAAATATATAAATTTTACTCACTCCGTCCCTCATAGATCTTCCCATTATCCCTTTTTATTTGTCCCTCATAGATCTTCTCATTATTTTTTTTAACAATTAAAATTTCACAACTATCACCACTTACTTTATTTATTACACTTCATCTGTCTCATTTAATATACTCCACTGATTTTTATTAAGGGTATCATGATAAATTTTCACCTTTTTTCAGCTCTCCTTAAAACTACGAAAAGTCAAAACGAAAAGATATTAGAGGGACAGGGGAAGTATTTTTAATTTTATACCTACAATCAAATAAAGTCAGTCAAACTTCATAAATACAAATAAGAAATAATTTTAGTATAGAGGAAATATATTTTTTATGGAAAACCAAACCCAATTTTAATTTAACTTTAGATTTTCAACGTACCAAAATAATGGAACCAACCAAAAAAACCCGAACCCTAGTTGGGGTACATCTTGGGTATATGCAAACATTTTTGAAGTCTACAACCTTCTGCCAGCAAAAAAAACGGAGCAATGGCAGGAACGGGCACCCAAACCTCTTCATCAGGCATCGCTGAATCCCCATGCTCTCACCTTCCGGCGGACATTCTGGGGATGATCTCCAAGCGTCTAGACGACGCCGTCGGTAATCTCCGCCTCCGCTCGGTCTGCTCTACTTGGCGCTCGGCCGTCCCGCTTTCAAAACGTGCTCTTCATATCTCGTTCAAAAAGGGCTTCCCCACCTTCATTGACCCCAACCGCCGCGGCCACTTTTCTCTGTCCAGCAGCACCGTCTACTTACTCCGACCGGCAGCGGGGGCTGCTGAGGGAAACGATTGTCAGATTTTTCCGTGGTGGTTGCTTAGGGTGGAAGGGAAAGACGGATTCAGAAAGTTCCGCCCACTGAGTCCATTTTCGAGAATCTTCACGGTCCTCATGAAGGATCACTTCCCGAAAGGATTTCCCAGGGGTGTTAACTTGTTGGATGTTCAGATCCACGAAATCCGTAAGGCTTATAGTTTGGATTTTGTGGAAGATGGCAAGAAGATTGAGAACAATCTTCTGCAGACTAGGGCTAGAAAAGTGGTTGTTTCATCAAGTCAGTGGAGTGCAAATTCTGGTGATGGTGAAGGATTTTATGCTGTGCTTGGCCTGTTTCGCGCAAAATTGGGGTTTATCAAATCAAATGATGAAAAATGGAGTCAAATTGAGGATACTGGGAGGTGTGTATACGATGACATCCTGTATAGTGAAGTGAAAGGAGTGTTTTATGCCGTTGATATATCAGGTAGGCTGGTGATGATTGATAGGGACCTCAAGGCTAAAGAGGTTGTATATGGATTTGGCTTCAGTGGATGTCAAAAGAGGCATTTGATTGAATCAAATGGAGACTTGTTCATGGTTGTTGAGTATGATGAACCTGAGCTTTACATGTCAGATGGTGAGGATGCCTTTGAAATTGATGACTACAGTTTCAAATACACCAACCTTGAGTTCCCACTTCATCTGAAGGTGTTCAAACTCAGCAAGAACGAATGGGAATATGTGCCTTCTTTGGGTGATCAAGTTTTCTTCATCGGGGACGATTGCTCCTATGTTGTCTCAGCCCAGCGTTTTGGATTGAAAGGAAATTGTGTTTACTTTACTGCTGACGATTTCATGGATGAGAATGAGAGTGATTTAACGATTGGGAACATATGCCCGGATGCTGGTGTCTTTTGCCTTGAGGATGGGCGTTGTGCATCTTTGGCTTCATCCCCTGAACATGCTCAGCTTTTCTTGAACTGTCCTGTGTGGCTCAAGTCTCCTCCCAAAACCAAGTCTAAGGCCAAGAGGAAAGGTTCCAAGAAATGAGAGTATGGATTTTCCCCCTCTATTTGCTCTCTAAACTTGTAATTTGTTAAATCCCTCCATAGTATCGTTTGTTCTGTTTTCATCACAAGGGATGGTACTTGTGATTTGTGTGTTTGATTGGTCATGCAATGCCATATCTTGGTAATACACTAAGGTAGTGTTTGGGAACTGGTATTTCATTTCAATTCTAAAATTTGAATTTTTGATTTTCAAATGACAAGGGGAGACGTGGATTTGCAGTTGAGCTTAGTAATGAATTAGATGGAATTCGCAGGACTACATTGGAGCATTGCATAACTAGTGTTATCCAGGACTACATTGTAGTGTCTGTACAAGAATAAGCCATTGTCTTTTTACGACTTTCACCATGATCGGGTTCTTGTGTTTTAAGCATCCCCGCCCGAATACACTTGTTGGAAATGTGGGATGCGTAGATATTCTGTTGTGTAGCATTTAGGGTGTGTTTGGATTGAGGTAGGTGGAGGTAACGTGAGGTTAAATTTAAACCTTACCTTGTTTGGGAGAAAAAATTGAGATAAGTAAGAGGAGGTGGAGGGAGGTAAGGTAGCCTACTAACAGTGCTATATCTGTTACGGGCTAGGTGAATTATTCGTTCCGCTGCTCTTCCTCTCCCTTCCTTTTCCAACTCTTCGTTTTTTGCTGGTTTTGTTTTCTGTTTTTTTCTTTTCGTTTTTCTTTGCCCTTTTTTTGCTGTTTTCTTTTTCTTTTCGAGAAATTTACCTAAATAGGACTAAAACATAATGACTTTTCTCATATAGGACCATATGTTTTTATTTTCTAATGTATGACTTTTGGTCATTATCAAGTAGTCATTATTCAAGTAAATATCTAGCATTACTGGACATGATTCCTACCACTAGGTCATTAATAATTCCTAATAAAAAAGTTTAAGTCCTACATTAGAAAAGTCATTATGTTTTAGTCCTATTGAGTATAAATTTCACTTTTTTTCGGGTTTTATTTTTCCGTTTTCTTATGTCGTTTTCTTTTTGCTGTTTTTTTATGTTTTCTTTTCAATTTTTTTTTTGCCGTTTTATTTGCTGTTTTTTCTGGTTTTTTTCATTTTTTTGCAGTTTTAATTTCAGTTTTTTCTTTTTGCTGTTTCTTGAAATGTCACGTTTTTTTTTTGTTTTTTTAATGTTTTTTTTTAAAATTAAATGATGAAGAATACCTAACGAAATTTGTGGCCTTAATTTTTAGAGAAACATGTGACAGTTAAAGCAATTCTTGGATTACACAAGACCTGAAAGTTTTCTCAATGACTTTTGGAGAAGGAAGGATTTTGAAAAGCAAGCACAAGGGTATTTAAGTAATTTTATTGTTTTACTTGTATATAAATTTCAGACTCTGATCTATGAAAGAGAATAACATGTGTTAAAATTGAGAGAATGACATTTGTAAAGACTTCAAGAATGACATGTGGTACTCTTTAAAGATTTACTTTCTTTTTTAGTACTCCCTTCGTTCCATAAAACCTTTCTCCTTTCTTTTTTATTTGTCCCACAAAACACTTCTCATTTCTATTAAAAAGTCACTTTTACCCCTTACTTTTTCATAACCTAACTATCACATCATACCTTTTTACTAATAATATATCCATCAAATCATATTTTTACCCATCACATCAAAGGACATTTTTGGAAATTCAATACCAAAATACACTCTCCTTAAGGCTCCGTTCCGTTCAACTTATTTTTTCTTATTTTTTCTTATTCTTATTCTTATTAAAATCAGATCAGATCAAATCACATCACATCGAATCAGATCAGATCGAATCAGATCAGATCAGATCCAATCAGATCAGATCCAATCAAATCAGATCAGGACTTATTAAATTAGATCCCATCAAAAATTATTATTATTATTATTATTATTATTATTATTATTATTATTATGATCATCATCATCATCATCATCATCACCATCACCATCATCATCATCATCATCATTATTATTGTTCTTAAAAATGAAAAAAATAAACTTTAGAAATAGGTTAAATAGAAAACTGAGAAAGTAATCCTTAATTAGTAGACGTCGGAAAAATTAGTTTTAAAATACATTGACAATGTCAATCTAATTCTACTTTTAAAGTATATTTTTATTACTACTTGTAATTTGAGTTTCTAAACTTTTGATCTTTTATAAGGATGATATATTTTAATAAAAACACTATCTCTTCTATATATTGATTATCTAAATTTAATTAATTTTTAATGTATATCTAAATTAAATATTTATTCTAATGTATAATTGTAATTTTACAAAAAAATAATCATAAAATAAAAAATATTATTACATTATAATATGAATGATTAATCTAGTATATGAATTAACTATTTTTATATTATTAAAAATAATCATTAAATAAAAATAGTGATTATATTATAATATGAATTATCATTACAATTTTCAAACGTTATTATAAAGTCAAATTAAATTATTGATTTGAAATTTTAAATTAAATCATAATTAATCAGATTAAACCAGTTCAGATCAGATCCAATCAGGTCAGATCAGTTCAGATCCAATCAGATCAGATCAGATCCAATCAGATCAGACCAGATCAGATCAGAACTTATTAGAATCAGATCAGATCAGAAAAAATAAGTTGAACGGAACGGAGCCTAAATCCCCCCTAAAAAACAAAACTCTCATGTTTCACGGGACGGAGTGAGTATTTCATTTCCTTCTCCTTCCCTCTTTAATTTTTTCATTTTTTTCCTTGTGTTATCAAAAAATGATAATTGATTATTTTGAATTTATGAATTCAAATTTAGAATTAATCGCATCAATTAATTTTAATAAAATTTTATTCTATCACAACTATATATGAAAATATTTTTAATACATGATTCGAATTCAATAAATTGTAAAATTTGCGAACAAACTTTTAGGCATATGAATATTTTTTTTAAATTAAAATTGTGCAATCATGTCAATTATAATATCATACAAATACATCAGAAGATCTATAAAACTATATTATTTATCAAATGATCAACAAAAATATATATAAAGAAATTAGTTAATAGAATTTAAAGACTTCAAATTAAAAACTATTTTGTTTTTAAATATTATTATTTCTTTTTTTAAAACTATTCTGTTTTTTCTTTTTTACTATTCTGTTTTAATATATCAGAAGATCAACAAAAGTATGTTATTTATTAAATGATCATTTTTAAATATTATTATTCCCTATTTTTAAAAACTATTCCGTTTTTCTTTTTACTATTTTAAAAACACAAAGATGTAATAAATAAAATAAATGTACAACTCCTTCAAAAAAATGTACAACATTATTACAATTACAACTTTTATTTTTAAAACAACGTCATGTCTGTAGTTTAAAAATAGACATATTACACACACTACATAATTATTGCCGAATTAAAATAAATAGAATTATATTTTACTCAAAATAAAATTAAATTGAAATATGATTAGGTCTAGGCCTAATTTTGAGGTAGTTGTCATTAGATGCATCTAACTATGTTGATGGTTAAGCATTTTACTTTGATGTAGTTGTTTGATTTGCATAATACATGAGTAATAATTTGCATGTTACCCACAAAGATCTTATGCACTCCATCAATAAAAATTGTGACCAGGGCCGGCCCTTAGCCTATGCAGCATGTTCAATTGCACAGGGCCCAATAAAATGGAGGGCTCACTTTTTTAATTAGCCTCCTTAATTAGTGTTGGGTCATTCACTCATTCCCAATCTTCCATGAACAACGTGCCAATTCGTTAATTTCTAACATTCCGTCAGACTCCTTCCCAATTATTTTATTTTATCTTCGGGTTTTTCTTCAGAATCTTATTTACTTTGTTTAGTTTATCTTTGGTTTTGTTTTGTTGCTATATTTTTTTCTTTTTTTATCGAATGAAAAAAAGGCAAAATTGTAAACTGTTTATTAATTGAAGCACCGAGTACATATTAATAAGAACTTTTTAATTTTAATTAGAAATTACGGATTTTTTTGAAAGAATTAATCACTAACTTATTTTACATTTTTATTGTATTACGTATATAATTAGTATTTGTTTCATCCCCGAACTTTCATATACTTTGAGTATTTTTATTTAAATTAGGTAAATTTTAATCATCATTAATATAAATATTATACTACCTATTGGATATAAATATGAAAATAATTTATGAGATTTATATTGTAGAAAATTTTTGAGCATTTATTTTATTGTATTAAGACGTGATACAAATTTAATATAATCTGTTTAGTCTAATTAAAAAAACAAAGTAAACAAATACTATGATACAAAAAGAAATATGCTCAGTGACATTTCTTTTAATTTTGTAAATATGAAAGTCACAATTTTTAAATTTGCACAAGGCCCTTTTTTACTTCAGACCAGCCCTGATTGTGACACTTTAAAAAATGGAAAGTGTCGATCTCAAAAAAGCGCACCAACCAGATCCGGAGGTAACCTTCAACCTATTAAGCAAGAATACATATGAGTATAAAAATTTGATCTATCCAATTTTATTTAGATAAAGAAAAAGAAAAAGAGACTATGAATTTTTTTAATTTGATTGCAGACATTCCAAGAACAAGTTAAGAACGACATTTAATATTGTTTTAAATTACTTTTCTTATTCTATTGTTTTTATAATTGTTCCTCTCTTGTACTTCATATATAAATGGAACCTTCATTATTCAATAAGACAAATTAATGTCAAATTCTATCATGGTATCGGAACTAAGGTCTATTTCTTCAAAAACTCGCTCTTTTGTTTGACTGCGTGTGACCGTTAGGGCCGGACACGGTACCGCTATGATATTGTTACCAGCGATGGTACCGCCACCAGAGACGGAGAGGGAGACGCTGCCACGGTGCCGGGAACCGGTACCGATACCATCCCATACGGTACTGGTTCTGGTACCAATTTTTCAGTACCGGCATCAACGATACCAGTACCGGTTTGGTATCGACCGTTTGAATTTTTTTGTCACTTTGTCAAACTTAGCGTTAATGGCATGCAAGTGGGGGCTCCTCATATGGCTATAATGCCATTGAGGAGGAAGGGGAAGGGGGGTTGGGGGTGGTGGGGTTTTATCTATATAAACCCTCTCATTTTTTAAAAAAATACAACTCTAATTTCTCAATTCTCGAATCTCAATCCTTTCATCTAATTAACTCTATTAATTTCTATTATTTCTATTCAATCTTTAGTTATTTTTACATTTTATATTCATATAATAATATACAATTATAAATATATATTAATAT